CTCTAACCCTGTGCCTGTCCATGTATCTCCCGCTACATTGTGGCTCTGACATTCTTCTGTGTCTGCTCACCTACCCTGCTCCCCAACACTGGTTAAAATACAGATTCCCGGGCCTCACTCAATTGTGATTCACAAAACTCAGCCTGAGAAGCAGAGATGTCCCTGCCACCTCTCCTGACGTCCAAAACCTTTGCTCAGATGCAGTTGTTGCCTGGAGGACTGCTTGCTGTGGACCCCAAGGGTCTGGGTCTGTAGGTATGAGTTAGGGCCCAAGTGTTTGCCTTTCTAATTTAAAGCCCCAGATGCTCAGGTCTGGGGACAGTCTGAGAGCCACTGTCAGTGAATTTTGCTGCTCACAGAGAGATCCATGGACCAGGAGCCTTAGCTTCACTGGAAGCCAAGTGCAGCTTGTCACACACCTGCTACACCCTGCTGCACCCGAGTCTGCATTTTCACGATGTCCCCAGATGGTTTGTGTTCACCCTGAGCGTGCCTTAGAGAAGCCAGAGAGAGCAAACAATGGGGGAGACTGACAGTGTCCTCTCTTCTTAAGGATCTGAAAAAGTAGAGGGGGGGCTGCTGGTGTGCATTGGGCAGAGGAGGACACTGAGTGGGCCCTGAAGGACAGGAAGGCAGAGAGAGCAGAATGGGAGAAGATGAGGTCAGCAGTGGGGCGCTCAGGTGGGAGGGCCGGGGCTGCCACCCTCCCCTTCTTCCCTGGGTCCCTCTCAGTCAGGGAAGAGCTCAGCTGTGGGGATGGGGAACCGCATCTGAATAGACAGTCACTGAGCGCCTGAGGACCCCAGAGCTGAGAAACCCAGGGATTCAGTGTGTCCGCCCTGGCTCTGTCTTGTGGAGCAGTAGTGGACGGACCAGCAGCCAAGCTGGAGGGAGAGAAGGTGAGGGCCTTACTGTGGCCGTGGTCTCAGCAAGGCTGACCTGCGTGGGATGGAAAATAGAAGAAACAGGTGCCCTGGGAAGATCTGTGGGCTCTGAACCCTTTTTTTTTTTTAACAAAAAGCTGAAGGAAATCCTTCATTTGTGTGTGTGTTTTTATATTTTGGTTTTGTAGTCCAGGCTGGCTTCAAACTCACAGCAATCCTCCTGCATCAGTCTCCTGGCTGCCAGAGTTACAGGTGTGCTCCACCACACTTCAGAAAATTCTTCAAAAGAGAGACGTACTGTTTCTTCCATGATATGTCTATGCATATGAACAGCCTAAATTGAAGCATTTAGGCTGGGTGCAGTGGCATATGCCAGGAATCCCAGCACTTAGGAGGTTGAGGCAAGAGGACTGCCGTGAGTTCAGGGCTGGTCTGGGCTACATAGCAAGACTGTGTCTCCAAAAAAAAAAAAAAAAAAAAAAATTGAAGCATTTTACTTCTCAAACATGATAAGCCAAAATGTATTGGATGGCCAGCAAGGTGGGGTTGTAGGATGGTGTGTGTTGGCGTTGCGGTGAGCCCCAGAATTCCCTTCCTGGCCGCACGAGGAAGTGAGCAGGAATCGAGCACTGCATTCCCCTCCAGGGTAGCTCAGCGTCTGCTTGTCCCTTCCACCTCTTCTGACAGCTGCTTTCATCTCTCCCTCCCTCCTTCCCGCCTCTTGTCTCTCTCAGGGAAAAGCCCCCTGAATAGCGACATTTCTCTTCCAGAAGAGCCCTCCTTAAGTTCCCACAGGGAAGCAAGAAATCAAGCATGGTTAAGTCTTCCGTGCCAGTCAACTCTCGCCTCTTTCCCCAGAATCAGTGCAGGAAGAGCAAGGGCTGGGACGCCAGGCTGACCTGTGTCTGAATCTCTGCTGCTTGCCAGGCCAATTGTGGGGCCGTTATTTCCTGTCCACGCCCTTGTTTCCATTCCTCTAGCCCTCCGAGTGCAAGGACCGTATGTTGTCTCTGCTGCTCTGTTGACACAAAGTGGTGCTTGGGGCACAGTGTTACCATAAACACTTGTGGAATAAAGAAGAGAACAGCATCTGTCTCCCCTCTGTCCTTGTGACTACTTTGGGTAAGGCACCCCCCAAATGTGAAATAAACTTTATTATTCATATAGTATATCACAAAAGGTTCACCCTGGAGAAGGGCTTGTGTTTTCTCTGGAGTGGAGTGAGGAAGGGGTTGGCGGTTTGGTGTGTTTTTCATGATCAGGAGTAGAGCCTGGATAGGGTACCCTTGACCTGCCAGTCAGGGAGTGCTTTGAAATTTCTGTGGGGGAGATGGCATTTGTGGACTTTCTTACCAAGTTCCCTGGAGGTGGGCCAAGGAGGAGAGGGGAGGCCTGAAAGCTATCAGAGGTCAATGTCAAAAGTAGAGCCTTTTTTTTTTCATTCTATTGGTGGTGAGCACATTTGTCTGTGCTTATTTCCTTACATGTGTTGATCCTCTTGCCTCAGCCTCCCGAGTGCTGGGATTACAGGTGTGTGCTACTATGCTCAGCATTGTGTGCATCTTGTCTATATCATGGTCTGTTTATTTGCCCATTTTTATTTTATTTATTTTTTTAAATTTTATTTTGAAAGTAGTAAAATGCAACAGCACAAGACAGAACAAAGCCAATCGAGACAATGCAGTGAAATTGGTACAAGATTTCACAGTAGGATGCTGGGATAGTAGTAATATGTACTCTGGTATATCTCTTTAACTTCACAATAGTTATCCAGTCAATTAGGTATAGCAAATTAGGGGCTGGGGATTTAGCTCAGTGGCATAAGTACCTGCCTTGCAAGCAGGTGGTCATGAGTTCGATCCCCGGTACCGATAAAGAAAAAGAAAAAAAAAATAGAACATTATAAAACCAGTTGAGAATACTGAATAGAGCAAAAGAAACATAACAAAACAAAACAGTGCAAACAACCTTTGCCTTCAAACAGAAGACAGAAGGAAATCCCCCATATTTGCTGTACTGCATATGGTCATCCTCCCAAGAGATGCTGAGACATCTATCCCCAGTAGCATGGGGGGGGGGGCGGGAAGAGGAAGGGTATTTGATTTTCAGCCCACGTGGCAGTAGGCTCACAGGTAATGGTTCTCCTCCAGGCCCACTCCGGAGGTGCTTACCAAGAGGGCGGGTGAATAAGCTGCCTGAGTCCCTCCATGGCAGGATCTCGGGAGTTATTGTTCTCCTCCTGGCCCACACTGCAGGCTCTTACCAAGAGGGCAGGTGAATCTATTTGCCCATCTTTAAATTGTGTTGTTTTTGAGAGTTCTATGATCTGGCTATAAGTTTCATAAATATTTTTTCCAGTAGTTTGATGGCGTGTTGGTCTTGGAAGGAGGTGCTATACCATCAAACAAAAATTTCTTGATTGTCTTCTCTGCCAGATACTAACATGAAGCAAATTCCTGATAACTGTTTGTCTGGGGAGGGAGCAAGCCTCCTCCTGCTACCACCAAGGCCAGGTGTCCCTCTCTTCCCCTCCTCCACTTGTCACTCTTTCTCTGTACACAAAAAGGATGCTGCCAGACACTGCCCATTTGGAAAAGTACAGCACAGTAGATGTGAATCAGCTTGGGCAGGCGAAAATGATTCATGCATGACCGAGTTTGCTTAGTTCAACTGGCCTGTTCTGAGTCTGTCTCTGCCTTCTAATTAAATGATGATTTGGCTTGATGTTGGGAAGGGAGGCAGTGAGTCTGATCTGTCTACCTTTGAGGAAAGCTGGGACAGGATGGATGAGAGGAAATATTTTCCCGCTTGGCAGAGCATGCTGTGGAGATTGAAGAGTAGTGGTGTTGGGAGGCTTTTCAGTGTGGTGACAGATGGTCCTCAACCCTGCCTTTCCCGTGTCCCCTTGTAACACGCACTCTGGACCTGCCTCTGGGAAATACATTAAGACTGGCTTATGTATGCTGCTAGACACAGCCCTTGAATACTGAGCACAGTGCGGGGGGAGGCCTGAAATATCACTGTCTTCCGTCAGTGTATATGTTGTAGGAGGGTGCGGGCTGCTTTTGCGGCAAAATTTTCTGAGTGTTTCTGCCTTGGGCAGGTTTGCAAATGCCTGGTGTTTCCTGCATCTTGGAGCTTAGCTCCTCTAATCCCTGGACAGAACTGCCCAAGAACTCGGCTTCCAGTGCCTTCCCCTGGACACTGCCTGCCACACTTCTTCAGGTGGGCGGGTGCCAGGGGCTCCTGTCCACCCACTCTGTCCACCCACTTTGCTAGGACCTGATGATGGCTGTAGTGGATTGTGCTGCAGGTGTTGGATTTCGCGTGGTCTGCTCAACAGCCGTCTGAGATGACTCACGAAGTCCATTTTTACTCCTGAGAAAATGGGGGCTTGAAAAATCAAGGTACCCAAGGTATAATGGTGAGTTAAGTGGCTAAAAATCGACTTAGGCCAGCCTGCAAAGCTCCTGCTCCGTGTAGTAAACAACAGCGCCCCCTGTGGTCAAGGGGGTGGGTCAGCAACAGAGATGCGCAGAGGCCTCCTGGTGGGCCTTTGCGGTGCTGTCTGTGCACAGCCTCGGGCTCCAGAACAGTCCTCTGGCCCAGGTCTTCCCCGGACTGGGATTGTGTCACACCCCCTCCTGGTTTTTAATGAGACAGAGGGGCCCAAAGGACACAGGCAAATGATGTGAATTGCAATTTCTAGGGATTCGGGAAGGATAAATGCAAATGTTCTCTTCAACAGTATAAATAAGAAGGGTTCGTGCGTCAGTAAAATGAAACACAATTCCACAGTCTCTGCCTCTCTGCTTCCCTCAAGTCCTTTACTGCTGGCAACTTTCAGTTCAGGAAGGAAGGGAAGCTCTGAACACTTCTTAGGATCAGTTTATGGTTCCAGAAGGCCTTTACCTTATTTATACCAATGGTGGCCAACCTATGGCACGCGTGCTGCAGCCAGCTGTTTGTTATCATTGACAGCTCTAAAAGGTTCACCATCACTTATCTCTACCACACTGAGTCAAAAGGAAATCCCTCGCATGTGAGCACCTCGGGGTCCTGATCAGGTCTCTGCAGGTGCCCTTCCTAACGTTTTTGCTTGCTCTCTTTCCTCAGGTGTTGACTTTAAAATGAAGACCATAGAGGTAGATGGCATCAAAGTACGGATACAGATTTGGTGAGTTGGGCAGGAGGAGGCAGGTATAGGGGGAGAGGATCCCGAGCTGCTCCTTAGCTGCCATTGCCATCAAATCCCTTGTTCCTCTGGGATAAGTGGACACCACTATGAAGAAGTCCAAAAGCCTGCTCCCAGGAGCTTAACCTAAGATCTCATTCTTAGGAAACTGTGGGATTGATCACAAGTCACAGAATGGCAGGGATGAGAAGGAATTGGTAAACTGCCCATCTGTGGGCTGGTTTTAGAATTTGGCGTTACCCTCAGGCTGTACCACACTGTGGTTAGGGATGGAAAGCTCCACCCCATCCCTTAAGGTGGGAGTCCAGAGTTCATCTGCGCTGCAGGATGCAGTTTCCAGCAGTAGCCACCAGGGGCTGCTGTGACTCTGGCCTGAAGGACTTGGGCGGACTTTTCGTTGTGGAGCTCGCTCTCTGTCCTAGAATGGCACAGGCATTACCTTCAGAGGTCCCATGGGCACTGCCTTCTGCCATATAACCAAGTGTGGTCACGATGGCCAAATTCCAGAAGAGAGTTGTTCAAAACTCAGTTATAACCGGTTGTGGGTCTGGATGTGGACAGAGGCCAAGGGCCTGCAGGTCTTGTCGGTGCTAGTAGATGAGACCGGACCCCTCACTACAGTCAGATATGTTCAGACCACTTTGGGAACCAAAGCAACAATGATTTTTCACCCTGTAGCTCCGCAGTTTCTCCTGCAAGGGCACAGTCTCCCAGTCCCCCTCCTCCTCCAATCTGTTCCTATGGTTCCTGCTCCTCTGAGGGACTTGCTTTCTACTGCAGGGACACAGCGGGCCAGGAGAGATACCAGACCATCACAAAGCAGTACTACCGACGGGCCCAGGTGAGCCGCCATTTTCAGGGTTTAGAGGTGGGAAGCTGCCACCTGCACACCCAGCTCTGGGGGTTTGAGGTGTCTCTGTCACTGACTCTGAAAATAGGGCCCTCAGCTTGCCTGCTAGCAGGCAGCCTCAGGGCAGTGTTTCAGTTGTTGGAAGATCATTCATTACATAACTGACTGTGTACTTACTATAGGCAGGTCTCTCTTTCTCCTCCCAATTTCCACCTTGGATTCTGGACCAAGGGGCCAGGTCACAGTGTGTGGTGCCTCCCTACCCGGCCAGTTCTGTGATGGTCGTTGGAGTGGCAGCTGTGGGGGCATGAGGGAAGTGGGCATTTTTGGATGCCCATGGGTCCTTGCACAACCCAGAGAGAATGGAGGGGTCCGTCGTAAGGGCCCCACTCCGGCCCCAGCTGCATTGCCTGTGTGCATCTCCCGCCCCCAGCTCCCTCTCTCTTTCTCTCCCTCTCAGGGAATATTTTTAGTCTACGACATCAGCAGTGAGCGTTCTTACCAACACATCATGAAGTGGGTCAGTGATGTGGATGAGGTAGGAGATGCTGGCTCGTGGCAGGGAGGGGGAGGCAAAGCAAGGGTCAGACGGGAAGAGTGAAGTACTCGGGATCGGCAAGTAAATGCTGCCAGGACATCTTACTTCCCACACCCCTGGTGAAGACTGGCTGAGTCAGTCATCTGGAGGAACTGACACCGCCCTGCTCAGTTCTCTGGGTCTCCCTGGAAAGGAGTTAGTTCCAAGCCTACCCTGCGAGCACCTTCCTGAACTCTCAGGAGCAGGTGGGACTGCAGGTGTGCAGGTGCTGTGCATACAAGCCTTGGGCCTTCGGGACTCCCTTGGGCCCTACTGCGCTGTCTCCCAGAGGGGGCTGATTTAAAGTCCAGTGTCCCTTCCACTTCAAATAGCATTTATTAAACCCAACAAGGCATTAACATCAGCCAGCGTGTCTTCTACTCTGGGCTATCCCTGTGACACTCTTGGGATCAGCCATGGCATGTAGTGCCCCTTACCCGCCAGGGAGACAGTCCAGAAGCCCAGGGGATGACCTAAGCTTGTCATCTACTGTGTTTTCTTATACATGCATAGCTATGATAAAGATCTATAACTACAATAGAACCATTATGATAACTAGTGAAGGTTACCAAAAACTTAGGAATTGTTTATTTCTGGGATTTTCTGGTTTGTATTTAGACCATGGTTGACAGCAAGTTGACTAAAATTGTGGAAAGCAAAACTGTGGAGGGGGGAAGAGGGTCTGTCCTCAGGACAGCTGGCACCTGCATGCAGCCAGCCTTCCTGTCCCTGTGCTCTTAGGCACAGCAGGGTTTGCAGGCTGGTGTAGACCCTGTGGGTGGGACAAGAGGGAGGGCAGCTCTCACCAGCAGCACTGCCTGTCCTTTGCTGTAGTACGCACCAGAAGGCGTCCAGAAGATCCTCATAGGGAACAAAGCCGATGAGGAGCAGAAACGGCAGGTGGGGAGAGAGCAAGGGCAGCAGGTGAGTGAAGCCCGTCCTCAGGTCTGCTGCTGCATGTCCAGCAAGCAGCTCCCCATCACTGCGTCCCCACGTGTCCACAGCACCCTCGAGCAAGGGGCTGGGGCCATCCTCGGAAGTCTGTATTCGGTCCTTCAGGACAGTGATACAAGGTCACACAGAAACAAACACCTCTCTGGCAGCAGCTCTTGTAGCGCCAAGTGCCCCCCAGCAGTAACCTCTGTGCGGGAGATGGTCCCTGTGGGAGAGACAAGGATGTGCATCTGGCATCTCCTCTGGCAGCACTGAGTGTAGCTACCACCTTCCAGGCAGGAGCCCCATCTCCCCTACGTTCCCTCTGTGACCCCCACCCCTCATGCCTGGTAGAGGGCTGGAAAGCAAGGGCGGGTGAGCTCATTGCTGAAGCAGAAAGGGAAGAGGATGGGGTGAAGTACTCAAGCACTCAGGAAGGCCACTCTGCCAGAGGACAGAGAAAGACTGATGCTGAGACAGGAGGGACCACCTACTCTAAGGGCCTCGAGGGTTTCCCTCACTCTCTTCAGTCAATACCATTCCATTAGCCCATAAAAGAACATTGATTTTGGGGGTGTAAAAAATAATACACGGTCACTGGAAAATGCCAAAGTAGAGGCGAGACTCCTGGAATAGTATTTATCGAGTGCTGTGTGTGTGGTACTGCGCTAAGTAAGAGCTGTCAGGTGCGTGGCCCCACTTACTTCGCAGTCCTCCCCTCACAGAGGAGGGGCTGGCTGAGGGAGGGTAAGTCTCCCCCAAGGCTGCTCAGCCTCGAGTGGCAGCACCAGTGACCAAGCCTGTCCTGTCCGCACACTCTGAACCTGGGTTTTCATGAATCAGGCTCACTGCCACTACGTTTTGCGTCTTTGTGTCCTAATGTCTGATGACGGTGTCTTAGGGGGTGTCTGGGTAGGTCGGGGGGATGGAGCGCATTTGGGGAGCACCCCCTCTTCTCTGCCAGCCTGTGTCTAAGAAGGAGCATTCAGTCTCTAGAGAAACTGTCACAGCACAGTAGGGTCTGCGAGAGCAGTGGCAGAAGTCCGTGCCAGGGCTGGGCGCCTTCTCTTGACTTTCTCTCAGCAATGTCCTCCTCTTGCAGCTGGCCAGGGAATACGGCATGGACTTCTATGAAACAAGTGCCTGCACCAACGTCAACATCAAAGAGGTGAGAGCCGGGGAGACAGCGCCCTTTGCTGGCTGAGTGCAGCGCAGGGGGCAGGCAGGAGGCGGAGGGGGCCCTAGGAGTTTCACTGAGGGGGGACTGGCCCCTCAGTCGCTGTGGGGCTGCCAGGGGACAAAGAGGGGACACTGGACTAACTGGGCCCCTGGTTTCCAGTCGTTCACACGTCTGACGGAGCTGGTGCTGCAGGCCCACAGGAAGGAGCTGGATGGTCTCCGCACGCGTGCCAGCAACGAACTGGCCTTGGCAGAGCTGGAGGAGGAGGAAGGCAAACCTGAAGGCTCTGTGAACTCTTCGAAAACCTGCTGGTGCTGAGGGACCTACGTGGGGCACCCCACACAAACCCCTTCCCTTGGGAGGCCTCTGGGGAGATGAGAGCCTGGCTTGGCCCACCGCTCCCCTCTCCTTTGATGACCTGTTGAATCAGTAGCTGCTACGTGCCCCTGCCTGGCCGAGAGCAACTCTGCTGTCATTTCCGAACAGCCTTGGTCCCTGGCCCCCCTACCCCGCAGTGCTTTCCTTCAGCCTGCTATGACCCTCACACCCCAAGCTCCTTGGACGGTGGCTGAGACTGAGTGGGGCCGGTTAAAGGCGCCTGCTGTCTCAGTGCATCTGGCCTCCTCCGCTTTCTCTCCTGCCCCTCTCCCCATCGCCTTCCTCCAGTGCTCTGTATTGAGGCCCTTCCTATGCACTGCCTGTGTCTTGCTGTGCAGCTGCCGAAGCAACTCCTTCCTTCCAACCCCAATCAAGGGAACAGACCCAGGCTCATGGGGACTCAGCTCTTGGCCCAGGGAGGACCCCACCCTGCTCGGGTAGGCCAAGGCTGAGGGTGCTTCCTCCTCCTCCCCTGCCCACTGCCCCTTGCTGTGCCATGCACCTGCCTCCCCGAGGACCTTGGAGGTAGGAAGGAAATGCTGTGGGGGTCCTCAGGCCTACGGCTCTCCTGCCTTTGCCTGTTCCCCGAGCCTGGGCTCTGGCCCTGCTGAGCTGCCCCATCTCTGGGGAACTGAGCTCAGAGGCTGCTTCAGAGGAGAGGAGAAAATGATGAGGGTGGCAGGGATAAAACGTCACCTCCATGCGCTACCTCTCACGCAGCACGTACACAACTTCTCTCCACCTGGGCTCCTGAATGTCAGACAGGGCAAGGAGAGCCTTGGGGCCGGTGACATGGTCAGGCCAACCTCACACTCTAGAAAGGGGAGGGCTTGAAAGTGAATGCCTAACTCTTAGATGCCAGAATGAGAGAAAACAGTCCAGGGGCAGCCAGTCACAAAGTAGAGGGGACAGGCAGCAGCAGGGCCTCCCGGGCCCCTCTTCCTTGCTGCTATAGGAACTTTTCCTCAGACCTCTGGCAGAAGTGAGAATGGCGTAACCACATCACTCTTTTACTGAACCCAGTCTTTGGCAACCAAGGCTTTCCTGGGCCCACACCGGTGGGGGAAGCAGCGGCTCCGCAGGAAGAGAGAAAGGCACCTGGTGCTGCCCTCGCCGCCTTCCAGACGAAGTGCTTATTGGGCCCTCCTGCTCCTCTGCCGGCTTGAGGGTCTGTCAACTGCACTGTGGCTGCCAGGCAGGGCAGAGGACCCTTCCTCCTAACTTTATGTTCAGGAAGGTTCTTTTACCCCTGTAGCCCAAGGGAGCTTGCAGGCCTCTGTCAGTTGTCGTGACAACTGTCAGCCCTGCTTGGGCTCCTGCTCCTTTCCAAGGTGGAGAAGCCCAGGGAAGAGGGTCATTCCTCAGCTGCACCGCATGGCTGGGGCTGGAGTCAAAAGGAGGAACCAGGCACTGAGCATTCCCCAGCCAAGACCTGGATCAGGAGCCACTTCCTTATTCCTCCAAAGAAGGAAGTAAAGACACAATCACAATCCTCCCGGCTCTTACCAAACCTGGGAAGAGTCAGCGGGAGAGGGTGGCTCAGGGTTTAGTGGGAGGGAAAAAGAGAACAGGAATAGAATAGAAATAAGTTACTGGCAAATGAGAATCTTAGAGCTGATGCATTAGGATGAAGCCATGACTGGCTTGGGCTGCTTCCGTGAGGGTTGGCTCATGCAGCCCTGTGCTGGAGGGAGCAGGGAGGGGATGGCAGGCCTCAGGCTGCCCTCAGCCAGGAGCCGAGGAAGGAGAAGTTACATCAGGCACTGCTCCCACCTGGGGGCCAGTGTCTCCGCTTTCTCTGGAGATCAGACAGCACCACTGTCTTTCTCCCCTAGCCCTCAGGAAAGAAGGATTATATATATATATTTTTTGTACCCTAATGGTCTGGGAGGGAAACCATGGACCAGTGAGCCCTCACTGTGAGGGCCATGGCTGGGAACAGGTATGGAAGCAAAAGAGGGCTGGGATTTTAGGGTGCAGCTGCACTCACCAGAACCAGTGTTGGCCTCTCACCCCTGCATTCCAGTCCAGGAGCCGGCTGGGCTGTGTCATTTGGCCGAGACTGCTGAGCAGGCTTTCCTGGCCTGTCTTGGTACCACCTCTGCCCCTGTGTCTTGAGACTCAGCCCAACTCCTGGATACGACCTGCTCCTGAGCCCCACCATCTTCCTGTGACAGGTGAACTTTGTGTACTGTGTCTCGGGTCCATTATATGAATCGTGAGCAGGGTTCATCTATTTTAAACACAGATGTTTACAGAATAAAGAATACTTCAAACCACAAGTGTGGCTGCCTGTATGAGGCCCAGGGAGGAGGTCTTGGTGGGAGCCTGCTGGTGAAGTGGGAGCAGGAGAGGGAGTCCTGAAATGAGGCCCAGAATCCTAAATCAGCAGCAACAGAGTGACAGTGGAAGTGGCAAATTATCTCTTCGGTTTTGTACCTTTCCTGGTGCCACCTACAAGGAAGCCAAAGCCCAGCTTCCATTGCAGAAATAAGACTAGGCACAGTTAAAGAAGTCAGGCATGGTGGTGCATGCTTATAATCCCAGCATTTGGGAAGCTGAAACGGGGGGATTACTGTGAGTCTGAGGCCAGCCTAGGCTATGAAATTAGCTGAAGGCCAACCTGAACTGCATAGCAAGACCCCATCTCAAAAAAAAATTTTTGTTTCAGCTCAATTTGTAAAGGTTTCAGTGCATCATTGGCTGGCTCCAAGGCAGGGAGGCTTGACAAAGGGGCATCACAGAGGAGAAAAACAGTTCATAGGGGCAGAAGGCTACAAAGTAACAAGCAGCAAGTTACAAGTGACAAGCAGCAACACATTCTGTTCCTTATATTCTGTGGAGGCTGCATGCCTTTAGGGCTGGTAGCCCTCACATTCAGGGTGGGTCAGTTTTAATCCCAGCATCATACCCTTGATACCAGCAGCACATACCCTAGATCCAGCCACCTCTAAAAGCTTCACTTATGACCACATGAGGCTTCTGCGGTGGGGATGGGGGACATTTAGACATAAGGCATAACAGGGGTCTTTAAAGCTAAGCAGTTTTCATCTGTCTGGGTTAGATGAGGAACAAATCTCCGTGAAAGGGAGGAAGGACTAAGTCACCTTGCAGGTTGGTGACTGGATGCCTTGAAGGAGTAGATGAAGACTTGGAACCTCACATTCTGTAGACAGAATTTCCTTTGGATATGGCATTGCTGGGAAATGGGCACTTGCAGTCTAAAAAACTTAACCATATTTTATAGTTTGTGACACTTCATCTCCTCTGATCCTAATGATCACTGTGTAAGAGGAGGGTGGAGAATTTTGAGATCAAGGATTTGCCAGAGGACCCTAAAAGTAACAGTAACAGAATGATTCCTGAAAACTACTGCCATGGCATCTCTGGAGTAGGAAGCTTTTGGCATTTCTATTTAGAAAAATCCCTATAAGCAATTCTCACTTGCAGTCAGAATTGAGGTCCACCCACCAAGCAGCCAGTGCTGCTTCCAGAGCAACCAGCACCCTGCAGAAGACTGAGGGCCACACAGCTGCCCGGGAAAGCTAGGCCAGGGGGAAGTAACACGGCAAACAGGTAGTGTCAGAGCACCCTCTCAGCTGTAGCTAATTGTAAGAAGTGGGAGACTTCAAAGTCAAGCTGGAGTTTCTAAAGGGAGAGCGTGTTCCCAGTTCCTCTCTCCTCACCCATAGAAGGCTTACAAAGGAGCAGCAAAGAGGATTCTCTGGAAGCCTAGGGTACTGGGAGGAGCCCTAGGCAAACACATAAACCTGGCAGATTAATGTTAAGGTGTCACCCACTATCAGTGCCAAGTCCCTCTGACTCAGGGGCTCGAAAGGGACACTTGTTGGCTGTCTCCAGGAACTGTACCCAACCTCAGCAGAAAACACACTTCACAGTGTAGTTCCTGTCACTACCTTTGGTAGCAAAAGATTCCATTCCACTTGGATAATGGAAACTTGTTTTTAGGGAGTTGCCAGCTGAGATATATGGTTCCCATGAACTTGAAAAGCCCTGGAACAAGCAACGAGATGGAAAAGCAGGGTACTCCCTGGTGGGTAGTTTTTCCATCTCCTCAATAAGTCAGCTTCAAGACCAGCTGCTCCCAGCCTTGCTTATGTCTTGTTCCAGGAGACAGTTCCCAGTGGATGGCTACTTGTGAAAACATTCTCTGGGAAACATCTGCCTTCCTACTGAAAATTTTCTCAAATTTTCCCAAAGCCTGGAAAGGCCTAATTACTGGTTTCAGTGATGGAGATGTCAGGCACTTTTAAATAAACGTGATTTTGAAAAGTGATTTGTTTAGTTGGAGGATGTTTGAATTATAAAGTGATATCAGGGTCTTTTTAGTTTTTGTAGGCATCTGGGCAGGGTGGGGGGCGGCTCCATGCTAGTCCTCAGCTGGTCCTGAGGTGTCCTGTGATACACTGCCCTCCTTGGTCAGGCATCTCAGTAGCTTCACGTCCCTGATAGATCCCCCCTCCCCTGTCTGAGAGACAGCACAATCATCATGGTGACTGTTCGAAACTGTGCCATGATAATGCATACCTCCTTCCCAAAAGCCCCTATGGCTTTTCCCTCCCAAAATTCTGTGCCAAAGCTCATGCATGTAAGGGTTTACCCAATCCCCTGCACTCTCACAAAATAAATCAGCTCCGTACCCGGAGCCCTCCCCGCATCAGAACCTGTATCAGGCAGAACCTGCCCTTTGTCTGCAGAGAGCCGCCACAGCAGTCTTTGTGGTGACGCCCTCTGTGCTTTCGTTAAACTCTTTCTTATTTGGTTGCCTCCTCTTTTTTAATATTCTGTGCTGCTCTAGATTGAGTACAAAGTTTCAACTCAATGAGTCCCCACGCACTTCCTTCTGTGGGGAGATGCACAGCACGAGGGCGCTCTGAAGTCTTGGATTGAAGCTTATTCTGAGGGGAACAGGGGTAAACGGTTCACCTCCAGAGTTTACCCACCTGTCCTGTGACTGGTCAGCATGATCCCAGCAATGGCTGCATCTTATGATTCTGCAGTGGGGGTCAAGGTGGAGGGAAAGGTGTAACAAGGAGATGGTAAGCATGGGGACAAGGGCAGAAGCGCTCTGCAGGAGATGGAGTGCCATCCCCTGAAAGACTTTTCAAGACAAACACAACTGCACCTTTTCTGCCAGGTGACAACTGAGGCATTTGAAAGTGACACATTTTCCTCATGGGCCCTTGGACGTTTGTCTCTTTGATTTTATAGAGAGCAACAGCTAATGAGAAACATGTGAACAGTTATATAGATTTTAGTGTTTCTCTTCCTTATCTTTCAGGTCTTGCCAGACTTTAATCTCTCACGGCACAATTCAGAGACTGGCACTCAATAAATGTACTCAATGTACCTGTGCCAAAGGAAAGTAACTTGCTGGGGCAAGCAGAAGTCAATCTTGCATTTCTCCCTCCCTTTTTTCCTCCCCATTTGACCTTTAGGGCTCTGGTTTCCTGCAAGTAGTGAATTATTCACATCTGCTCATAGATATCAAGCTGGTCTTTTCCAGGCTACCAGCAGGGTGGGGCAGTGAGGTGGCTTTGTTCAGTCTCAGAGGAGGAGGAGCAACCTCCTTGTTCAAACAACACACACAGGTGGGTGCTTCTTTTTGCAAAGTCATTCTGGGATCCTTCAGAGGCTCATTGTGTGATTCCTTTTTGTCCTTTGCAGCTCCTCCTCCTCCCCACCTTTTCCACAAACCCTTAAGAGGGCCCCACCACTCTGCACACTCTGCTCTGCACCATGGCTTACATCGCCAAGTCCTTCTACGACCTCAGCGCCATCAGTCTGGATGGGGAGAAGATAGATTTCAACACGTTCCGGGGCAGGGCTGTGCTGATTGAGAATGTGGCCTCTCTCTGAGGCACAACCACCCGGGACTTCACTCAGCTTAACGAGCTGCAATGCCGCTTCCCCAGGCGCCTGGTGGTTCTGGGCTTCCCTTGCAACCAATTTGGACATCAGGTGAGCTGATCCTCTTGTAGTACCAGGGAACCGGGCTGACATAGTTTGATCAGGAGGACACTGGAACGGTTTTGAATGACCATGTGTTTTAGAGTCAGGAGTTTGTGCCTTCCCAAGCTAGGATTTTAGGTGCATGTGAAATACCAAGGGGAATAGATAATTTTGAGGTTAAACATCGAAAGTGTGTGTTTTTATTATTGCCTCTCTGTTCTATTCCATGAAGGCTGGTAACGAGTTATGGTCTTTTCTCTATTGTGTTCTCAGTGGTAGTTGCAAAGGGTCTCATGAAGTATTTGTTGAATGAGTGGAAGAAAAAGAAAGTTAAGAATCAAACCAGGGGAGCTGGGGATTTAGCTCAGTGGCATAAGCACCTGCCTTGCAAGCAGGCAGTGGTGAGTTCGATCCCCGGTACAGAGAAAAAGAAAAAAAAAAAAAAAAGTAGAAAACAAAAAGAATCAAACCAGGATTGAACTGTCTCAAGAGATCTTAGTCCTACTCTTTAATGGCTCTGTCTTTTTCTTGGAAAGGGCACTCAATTTTTCTTACATTATTCATCTGTAAATTGGAGATAATATCAACTCCAAGGGCTATTGCGAGGTTAATGGGATAAGATATATGGAAGAAACTAGAAAAATATAAAATACTATGTGAATAAAAGTTCGTTATTTATTTATTTTTTATCGGTACCAGGGATCAAACTCACGACTGCCTGCTTGCAAGGCAGGCGCTTATGCCGCTGAGCTAAATCCCCAGCCCCAAAAGTTCATTATTTAGATTGAAGATTCATTTGTTTAAATCAGCAGTGGAAAGTGAATATGTAAAAGGGAGAAAGGTTTGCAGCAGGGATGTGTCTCCTCTGGGCATCACATGTTTGAGCTAGCTGGTTGCCGGAAGGAGTCCATAACCTACCAGGAGCCAGCCAACCATGAATTAGGAGATAAGAAGTCTAACAGAGGTTAGCTGAGGTTCGGGAGTGCCATGATGGCCCGGAATTGACTGTACTAATCGGTTGTATAGGTGAGAGGCAGAAACTTTCTCAGAAGGAGGTACTGAATTTCAGACTGGAGAGGAGAGGGCAGTAAATAAGGGTTCTTACAGGCCTGTGGGGATGTTGGAGTGCTATCGGTACAGGATAGGAATGGCTGTAGGGAGGGAAAGACAGGTAAATGTTTCTAAATTAAAGTGTTCATGGTTGAATATAGTGAGTGAAGATGCATAGCAGACTAGAAGTGGAAGGAATAATTAAAATAAACTTTAGTGCTCAAGCACTTATTCTCTCAGCTGCCACCCCCTCCACACACACATATTCTAGTGCCTTAAACTCTATCGTATTTGACTCATTCCTGTTGGTCACTATGCAGTTTTACATACAGAACATGTGTTACTGTCTCTAACTTGCTTTATCGTTATAGTACTGTTGTAGTTCCTTAGATGGACTACAGACTTGCTCCTATTTGCATGTGAGTTCTAGGACAAGGTAGGATGAGAGCTAGAAGCTATGAATCCCATTCCTATGGGCCTTACTTAAACCTTTGCTTTAAGAAGCTCAGTGGAGCAGAGTCAAAGATTGTACTCAACACATGCGATTAGGAGCAAGAAAGACCCAAACTGGGAGAGGACAGAAGTGTGTGTGTGTGTGTGTGTGTGTGTGTGTGTAGTTGGGTAGGTTCTAGGTAGTATGACCTGAGCCCCTTTCCTTTTCTTTCTCTGTCCTGAATTCAAGGTTCCTTGAAGATTCAAACAATAACTCAAAGACTGTCCAGGGACAGCTGGGGTCAGTTTGATCACTAAGTACAAGAATAACCAGGTTAAGAACTGTAAGAGTTCAGAAGTGGCCTAGCCCACCATAAAACAATAATGGGAGAGGGAAAATTCCAAGAGTAGGGAAAAGGAAAGACAAAAAGAAAGGGAGAAGGAAAGGAGTGGGAGGGAGGGCAGGCTAACGACCTTGGGAAGGGAGTGAAGGAGGCTGAAAGGTCTGCAGTGGCGGACCCTTCATTTCCCCCTCCCTTATTCCATGTTGTCTTTTCCCCCAGGAGAACTGTCAAAATGAGGAGATCCTCAACAGTCTCAAGTATGTCCGCCCCGGCGGCGGATTCCAGCCCACCTTTACTCTTGTCCAAAAGTGTGAGGTGAACGGGCAGAACGAGCACCCCGTCTTCGCCTACCTGAAGGACAAGCTCCCCTACCCTTACGATGACCCGTTTTCCCTCATGACTGATCCCAAGCTCATCATGTGGAGTCCGGTGCGGCGCTCAGACGTGTCCTGGAACTTTGAGAAGTTCCTCATAGGACCAGAGGGGGAGCCCTTCCGCCGCTACAGCCGCACCTTTCATACCATCAACATTGAGCCTGACATCAAGCGCCTCCTCAAAGTTGCCATCTAGATGTGAGCCGCTGGGCACACGGAAGCAGGGTGTCCTCGGGGCGCTGCTGGACCAAGCTTTCCCTCCATCTCACCCCGTTCACCCAATAGCCTTGCCCTTTCTGTCTCCTGTTTTCTTCTCCATTCTCCACTTTGTAGTTGGTGCATCCACTTGGAGCCCTAGGACAGGTGGCTCTGGGCCTTCACAGAATGACGGCACCGTCCTAAACGCTATGGGTGGTATCTGAGAAGTGTGAATGGCTGGAGCCAGCCTGCTGGATGAGCCCAATAAAGTGCAGGTGTGCAAATAGCCAGGCTTTTTGTCTCGTCTTCCTTGTTAGAGGCAAAGTGATAGCACAAACTGGGGGAGAGGTGCTGGCAGCAAGCAGAGGTTTGGTAGAGGGAGAATGATCAAGAGGATATACTAATTATGGCCAGAAAGCAGGTGTGGTAATGGTTTTCAGCAGCAGTTTATAGCGGCAATTGCAGGAAATGTGGATGTGTGATTTTATGACTCTTTTCTAGAACTGGGGAAAAAGAAGGTAACAAAGAGTAAAGAGTAGGCCCTTTAGTTGAACATATTGAGAAGCTGTTGGAAAACTGTAACTAGGAAGGCATCACATTACTGTGGGTACTAAGCCAACTAGATACCACCTTAAATTTTTTTTTTTTTTTTTTTTTTGAAGACAGCTTAGTCAGCTTTCGAGGACAGAGTGTAGTTACTGGGAACAGAAAGATCATTTTATTTTCTTGTTTATTCTATTATTCTTTATTCTATTATTGTTGAGTAATATAGCTTTGATCTTTTGCTGAACTGACTCTCACTCTTTAAAGTTCACAATCTCTTAAACCCATATAGTTGCAAATTCAGGCACAAGGCAAACAGAGGTGTGAACTACTGGGTTTGTTTTCTTCCTCCAAGAGGGTAGAGATGGAGGAAGAGCCCAGTAGCCTTCAGAGTCAGACAGTTCCAACCTGCCGACTGACTGCATTCATCGGGAGGACAGAGTGCGGAGTGGCTCTGGAAGAATGGTGTAACACATTCTCAGGCCAGCACAGCATATTCAGAAAGCATCGACACCCCCATGGCCAGGCTCTGTCATGTTCTGGAGAGAACAACAGCTCAGAGGCCAATGTCCTGTCACTTTTTGCCCCACAAAAGCTTCTTCCTGGAACCTCCTTATTCAGCTTTCCCTTCTCCCATCACTAGATGGACTTTCTGGTTTCTCTTCAATGAACACTGAAGGGACAGTTCTCCAAACTGCACCCACTATTTGAGAACCACTAGCTGAATGGGAAATGTTATTCCTTTGCTCTGCTCCTGATAACTGTTTTCTAAGCACTCCCATCATCTGAGAAGGAAATGTGAAGTAGAAGTTAAGGATGTCCACTGTTTGATTTTTTTTTTTTTTGTCTTTTTCATCGGCACCAGGGATCGAACTCACGACTACCTGCTTGCAGGGCAGGCACTTATGCCGCTGAGCTAAATCCCCAGCCCCCACTGTTTGATCTTTAACAAAAAGCTCTGTCATAGAGCTTGTTCATTTTGAAAGGATAACCTGAGTAATGTAGTGGAAATCTGCTGGCATCCTCTATAGGCCTTCTGCTAAATTAAGGCTGACCTTAATTTGACTCTTGACAGCTCAAGCCATTTGGATTCCTCCTTTTAAAGCCAACAGCTGTGGAGTAGGTTCTTTTGAGGTAAGCCACTGATTTCAGAGCAATAACTACAGAGACAAATCATTTCTCTGATTAAATGAAATAGGTAATTCACGTTGGGTGCTGGTATGATGTGTGCATTATCTTGAGTGCTGTACTCTGTTATACACAGTGGCAGAGCAGCTATCTCGGAGGTGGGCAATGTGCCACAGGCATTTTAGGGCCCCACAAGCCAGTTTGATGTTTTGGGTCTTTCCAATGTGGATCAAGTAGAAATAATTGTTTAGGGATTTCCAAAGAAATGGGAAATTCAGAAAAAGTGACTTTGCAGACACAGGCAAAGCAGCCTTGGGAAGGGGACATACCATCTGCTTCAGACAAGACCTGAGGGTCTGGCTCAGAAGACAGAAGAAACAGCCAGGAGAAGCCTGTTTCACAAAGATCATTGGTTTTATTTATTTTTTATTTTATTTTGAAAGTAGTAAAAATGCAACAGCACAAGACAGAACAAAGCCAATCGAGACAATGCAGTGAAATTGGTACAGGATTTCACAGTAGGATACTGGGATAGTAGTAATAGGTACAATGGTATATCTCTTTAACTTCATAATAATTGTCCAATCAATTAGGTGTAGCAAAATCAAACCAAAAATAGAACATTATAAAACCAATTGAGAATACTGAATAGAGCAAAAGAAACATAACAAAACAAAACAGTGCAAACAACCTTTGCCTTCAAACAGAAGACAGAAGGAAATCTCCCATATTTGCTATACTGCATATGGTCATCCTCCTAAGAGATGCTGAGACATTTATCCCCAGTAGCTATGGGGGGAGGGGGCAAAGGTGCTTGATTTTCAGCCCATGTGGTAGTAGGCTCACAGGTAATGGTTCTCTTCCTGGCCTTCCCAGGGGCGCTTACCAAGAGGGCGGGTGAATAAGTTGCCTGAGTCCCACTGTGGCCGGATCTCGGGAGTTCTGGTTCTCCCCATCATTGGTTTTATTAAATCTTTCCTTGTTCCTTTCATTTCCTCATCTTATTTATCCCTTTTTGTCCTCAGTCACAGCTTACGGTCATCAACAGAAAAGGCAAAGTTTTAATATTACAACTTTCCTGGATAAACACAATCATTTAATCAAATTTCCCTGGGGGCACTTAGAAGTAGAGTCTCATTAACAAGTTCTGCCAGAAGCACTGAGAGGCTACTGCTCGATTTAGGGGAATGACAGAGACAGTTGATTCTCTAAGGACTCTCAGAGACAACAGCTTGGAAGAAACAATTTTAGGTACTGCATAAAGACTGAAACTGGTGATTTTTTTTTTTTTTTCTCGAGACACAGTTTTGCTCTATAGTTCAGGCTGATCTTGACCTTGTAAAGATTCTTCTGCTTCAACCACCCAAATACTGGGATTACAGGCATGCACAGCCATAATTGGCCAGTTTTTTTTTAAAACAGGTCTCTCTATGTTGGCCAGGCTAGTCTCAAACTCATGATACTCCTGCTACAGCCTCTAAGTAGCTGTAATGGTGGGTGTGTGTGCCAACAAGTCTGGCACATTATTATCTTTATTATTATCTTTATGACTATATTGCCATAGTCCTTAGTGGCACTGAGCCAAGCCCTAACAGGCATGTCCAATCTGTGGTCTGACGATTGGACACACTGAGTTACACTTTTTTAAAAAAGGAAGATTTGTTACTTAGAAACATAAAGTATAGTATACATTTTATATGTAGCCTTCTTCACTCAACACGGCCCTGGAGGACCAGACATGTCTAAACCAGGAGCTCATACTGGACACAAATGCCTAGAATCATCACAACCATCATTGAAACTATAAATTACTTGGTATTTCATACTGTGCTGAGAACTTTATAGACATCAGATTATTTAATCCTCATACAGATCCTATGAGGAATTTTTATCTCTACTTGGAGAAGATAGTTGGGGGGATGCCTACCAAAGACACACAGGTGGTAATAATGACAGTTAAAAGCTAAAGCCTGGCCTGAGGATTTAGCTCAGCATCATAAGCATCTGCCCAGCAAGTGCAAGGTTATGAGTTCGATCCCTAGTACGCTCCCCCTAAAAAAGCTAAAGCCTGACTCCAAAGCCTCTAATCTTAGTCATAATAATGTTTTCTTCTAGTTCAAATTTTCCCTCATATAGACCACTGAGAGCCACCTGCACACAGCACTATACAAATTCAAAATATTCTTACTTTTATTTGATTTTAAAACTTTGAGGCATGTTTCCATTGTTCCTTTGGAGCAACTGAAGTACAAAGGATAACTTGCTATAATGCGCCCCCCCCCCCACTAACAAGCAGCAAAGCCAATTCTAGACCCAGCTGTCTTTCCTTTCTACCCTATCACTTTGTAACTAGTCAAGAAGTAACTAACCTCTCTCACAAAAATGAGTGAATGAAACCAAAAGGACTGGGGAAGGGGTTCCAAGAATCAAACACAACCTTACACTTGCCAGGCAGGTGCTGTACCACCTGAGCTAAATTCCCAGCCCCAAAAGAATTTTTGATATGCTGAAATAAAGAAATGTGAACATATACTGTTTAGTGATAACTTCAAGTAACAGATTATCTGGTTTTGTCCAAGCTGGTCACATAACGATTAATTAGTATTAGGAGCTAAGACCATCAGAGAAAGAGATAGCTAAACCAAAGCAAGACAAATACAAGGTGAGCTCTTAACTTCAAGAGCCTTCCTGGCCAGACATCAGACATGTGTATCATAGAGTAAAGGAAATGAGGGCTGGACCAGCCCACATTTCCAGTGACACTCACGGGTGATTCTTTTCTTCTAAAATCTGAGAGAGAAGTAAAGATCAATCCTTTTGTTTAGTTCCCCTTTATTTGATCAGAAAGTAAAAATCCAGTTAATTGAATTCAAGAGGTCTTTATTCCATTACTCAGAATTCTAGATGATAAAAATATCACAAGAGCAGGGTGTTGTGGAGTAGGCCAATAATCCTAGCACTTGGGAGGCTGAGGCAAAAGGAGCTGCAAGTTCAAGGCCAGCCTGAACTACATAGCAAGACCATTTACAAAACCAACTAACCAAATAAACAAAAAAACCAAAACAAACTATGAATAATTAAATAATGAAATGCATGGATAGGATCTTATGTAATAATGAAAGGATACATGGATAGGAGCTTAAGTTTTAAAATTTTACAATTTATAGTCTAAAACAGATAACTATACATTCTGCATTAGATGATGTCAGCAAGGGCACATAAAATTATACTCAACTTTTGACTAAATGGAAGTATTAGCAGACTTCAGCAAGGGACAATTCAAAGCTACAAGAGGCTTAGTGCTGCTATTTAAAGTAATGAAGCATTTTCTCTTTTTGGATTCATCTCACCAAATGATTTCCTCAGCAGGTCAGACATAGATTTGCAGCAAAATGGAAAATTTTTTCCAGGACTAAAACAACCGATCCCTATAGAGCAGCTGACTTAACTTTTCTAAGTAATAAATCTTTATCTGACACACCTGGATTCCTCAAAGCTGTCAGGGATATCATCAACCTCTTTCCAACTTCGCCAGATCCTTACATGTACCTCGTGTTTATGAAACAACCTTACTGAGAGGGCATCATATAGTATCTGTGTGATCTTAAGCAAGTTACTTCATGTCTGCATTTTTTGTCTCTAAAACTAAAATAATAATGGTACCTATCTCGTGTTGTTAATGAGGATAAAATAACTGCTTTACATGGTCTTGGCACACATGAAGCACTTAATAAATTTCAGCTAAAGCTGGGCATGGTGGCTCACGCCTGTAATCCCAGCACTTGGGAGGCTGAGGCAGGAAGATCGTTCTGAGTTCAAGACCAGCCTGGGCTACAAAATGAGCTCAAGGCCAGCCTGAACTACATAGTGAGATCCTGTCTCCAAAAAAAAAAAAAAAAAATTCAGCTATTATTATAACTGCTGTTATACAAAAAAAGCTTTTTTTTTTTTTTTTTTTTCCCCTGGTATCAACAATGAAGACCTTTTTTTTGAGACAGGGTCTTGCTATGTAGCTCAGCCTGGGCTTGAATTAGTTGTTTTTTTTAACATGGCAAAAGTAAAAATAATTTATTTGCCCAATACATTGAATATTTGGCACATACTTTGACAGTTTAAAACTACATAAATTGGAAACTTTAGATGTAGCTTAAGAATCTAGTTTGCATTTAGTTTTATTGCCTTACATGTAACTATTGTAGACTTCATGTTAACTACTAAGTATTTATTTTTCTTTTCTTTTTTTTTTTTAATCAGTACTGAGGACAGAACTCTCGACCGCCTGCTTGCAAGGCAGGCACTTATGCCATCGAGCTAAATCTCCAGCCCTAAGTATTTATTTTTGAGACAGGGTTTCACCTTGTAGTGCGGGCCAGCTTTGAACTCAATGGAGATCTGCTCAGCTTCCCAAGTGCTGGGAAAATAGGCATGCGCCACCACACTTGGCTCTTAACTAGTTTTAACCATCAAATCTTTCATACAGTTCTCTCTCTACTGTTTTTGTCTATTGGCTGCAATAAATAATTCAGCAAAATTTTCAGAGAAGGTTATTGATTGATAAGCTTTCTTAACCCTTAGGTATCTGAGAATGTCTTCGAGTTGCCTTCATACACAAATATCACAAATATTAACTTGGCAGGGTGTATGATTCTTGGTTCAAAATTATATACCCCTAAAACTCTGTAGATGTTCCTTTGGATCTGTGCAAACTTTTTTCTGTATTCATCAAATCAAATGAGGATATATTAAGATGCTGTCCTCTTTCATTAAAATTTAAAGAAACACTATAAGCCTTCTTCATTTGCAGGCCTACTTTGCTCTTCAACTTTGGATAGTCTTTCTCAATTATTTCCTTACTGTTTCAACTTCATTGCTTTGTGGTTTCGGGTATTCCTATTATACGTAGGTTCTATCTTCTGGAGAGGCTCTCTGTATTTTTTCCTCCTCTTTTCTCATTTTAATTTCTTTGATCATTTCCTCTGCATTCTGTGAAAATTTCTCACTTTGCATTTACTTCAGCAATTTTATTTTGTGACCGATCTTGCTTCCGTGCTTCCAAATGGAAGGCCACAATCTCTTCCATGTGGTCACATGTTGCCTGTTCTATAATTGAGCCCACACACAGATACTAAACTCTTTCATAGGACATTACTTTGTAGATGACTGCTGTAGACCAGTATATTAATATCAAGGTGTGTGGGGGGGTAATTTCTCAATTACTTAGCTCTATTCCTTTCTTCTGAACCGTGGTCTTACGATCTTTGAATAGCTCTTCACAGTATGGTCCAAAAATGTGCTTTTCCCAAGCACAAGTTGAAGAACCTGCACTACTGCAGCCCAGGCTGGCTCTGATCTTACGGTGATCCTACTAACTCAGTCTCCCAAGTGTGGGTAACACTTGTTACCCACCCATACTTGTGCCATGCCTGGCATCTGCTTTTTTTTTTTCCTTCATCCTCATAAAAGCAAAGCTTTAACAAGGAATTTCCAAATCTCTTAAATATGATGAACAAAAAACTTTGTTTCTAAGCTTGACCCATTTAATTTTGGAGAGTAGAAGCTACCCAATTGAATACTATGCTGTTTTCCAAAGTATATTAATGCACCTGAATCTTCTAACATTACTGTGAAGAATAGCCCATATTTATAGCAATGAGACAATGAAGTCTAGAGTAATGCTATGTGTAATGGTTACATTGGAGCCAAATGGCAAAGGCCTAAATCTCAGTTTATGACCCTCAAGCCACTGTTCTTTCACCAATGCAAGTTAAGATATCCTAACATCCCTTTGAAGCAGTTCTACTTGTTTATACAGTATTAACTAAAGTCCACACTTTGATTTCCCTTTTTTGGGTGCAGGGTCCCAGTAAGGACATCATGTCTCCTTAGGCTCTTTTTGCCTGTGATAACTTCCTCAGGCTTTTCTAGGTTCTGATGACCTTGACAGTCTCAAGGCATATTGGTCACATATTTTGCAGAATGCGGCTCAATTAGAATTTGTTTTCTTCTCATGATTAGAGTTATGAGGTTATGGCTTTTTGGAAGATCATGGGGTAAATGCTATTATTGTCACATCAATGGTACATGCTACCAACCTGGCTTAACATTGGTGATGCTATCACCGGGCTTAGCTATTGTTTATCAACTTTCTTCATTGTAAAGTTATGTTTCGTCTCCTCTGTACTTTTTGGAAACAAGTCATTATACACAGCACATCCTTAAAGAATAGAGATTATCTACGGAAATCATTTGGAATTCTGCAGACTTGTCTGCTCTCTCCCATTTATTCATTCATCTATCCACTTATTCATGTCAGTGTGAATTCATATTTAGTAAATGGTGTAGGTTATAAATCCACTCCCATTTTATTTGTTTGCTCAAATTGTTCTGTTGCCAATCAACCTTGGGTTCTTTTGCTCAATTCAGATGGAAACTGTGACTTGGCAAAGTGCAGCTCTGCTATAGCCCTGATGTCACCAGAAGATACCAGGTGATGCTGGATACCTACAGGTGACACAGCTAGCTGCTTGCTGGATACTGCTGCTGCTGACTACCACTGTCTGATGTCAGCTTGTGCTGGGCACTGTACATTGACTTTATTGGATGTTAGTTTCTGCTGCTGATCTTCATTGGTCGCTGGTCTGTGGAGCTCCTTACTGTTAACAGCTCTGGACTTTTTTTGGTCTTTCTTTAAAATGACTGCATTCCAAAGATAATAATCTCAAATAGATTCATAGAATTTTTGGAGCCCACACTACCCAAAAAAATAAATCATGAGCCAACTTACAGGAAAAACAAAACAAGTCTTTATTTTAACAGGGACTGTGCTACAGCACAGGGTGAGGCAAGTACATAGAAAGGAACCCTTTCAGATCAAAACCTGGGAAAAGGCTGGGGAATGCTGCTTATATAGCAGCTTGCAAGCCTATTTCAGTGAGGGTGAGGGCTGAAAGTGAGATATGAATGTTAGGTATGCAGAGGCTGAGATCCCCCTCCTTCCTAATCCTATCCCCTCCAAGGTACCCTCCCCGTTCTTTAGCATCGTATGAAGTGGCAGGTGTGGAGAATGGGCACCATGCTCTCTGGTTGCACTCATGCTGGACTGGAGAATGGTGGTTTGACAGTCAGTGAGGATACTGAAGCAAATTGTCCCAGTCCACTGGCGTGTAAGGGGGAGCAAAGAGAAGAATGCAAGAGAGGCATGCTGGTAACCAGCCAAGTCACGTCCTCCTTTCAGATGGCACAGGGAAAAATGAGAGAATCACACGTCCTCCTTTCAGATGGCACAGGGAAAAATGAGAGAATCAAATGCTTCTGTCTGTATCTGTTCCAGCTCTATAGTCACTGGGAGTTCCTTCAGCTGGCCCCTTTGTTTGACATATCCTCAATCACCGATTTAAAAATTTTCTTAGTACTTCACTTTTTGGTGGCCCAAGATGCTTCAGGCTTACCTTGCATATTTCCTGTTCTACTCCACCAATCATTTTTCTAAGAAGTCCTGGTTCTTTTTATGAGAAACCAAGACCTAAGCACTAAGTATGCATTCACTGAAATTCTTTCTGGCCAAATGACTGCTAACAAAAATGTTTCAGTCTGGTCGCACTGATGTGAACTGGCAACTTCAGCACTAGAACTCAGTTCTAAGGAACAACAATCCCTTGAATCACTTTTTCTTTCAAAGGACACGCAAGCCTAAGAAAGAAAGAAAATACACAAAGAACATTGTTTATGAGATAAAACTATCTGGCTTTCTGTATTGTAAACCAATCCAACATGGGTTCAACAGAACTGGAGGAGTGTTAGAATAAGAGAGTCATTTGTCGAGGGTCATCAGGGAGAATACTGATAGTATCTTCAGCTTTGCCACATAACAGACACAGCATGGTATACTCCTAGAACAAGACAAAGTGCAGAATTATCTCAAGGGACAGTAAGATGCTTCCTAACTCACTCTGGTAAAGTTCTTCTCTATAAATTGTTACAGATATGCTTTCTGAACATTACAGAACTGACTTTCCTTCCTTCTTTCCTTTTTCAGTGCTGTTGGGGATGGAACTCAGGGGTGTTGTACTACTAAGCTATATCCTCACATGGATTTATTTATTTATAAAATTTGAGGCAAGATCTCACTAAGATGCCCAGCTGGCCTTGAACGTGTGATCCTTCAAGTAGCTGGCATTACAGGGATTTGACTCCTCCTCCCAGTTTAGATCAATTTCTTCAGCTTCTTTAAGCAATATTTCAGGTTTATTCTGTAATCCTCCATCTTTTATTTATATAAGTGAATAGACGTTGATGCTATTGTTTAACATGTATATAAGAGTGACACCTTGGAAATACACGGGTTATTTCTTAGTCTTAGCACACACATTTAATTTAGTACTGTTATTTAAAATAAACAATTTGAGTGTAGGTCTCTAAGGACAAGTTTCTGTTCTTAGAACTGTTCTTTTCTAGAACATTTAACACTAATATACAATAGGAGAGAAAGGGGGAGAGAGAGAGAGAGAGAAAAGAGCGAAGAAAATTCTTGAATTGAAAATGCTACTTTTATCTATTCTAAAAAACTAAACCAGCATATTAAATTTACTAGAATACCATACCTGATACTTAACATCTAAGTGCCCACAATTTTATGTATTTAAGTAGTTTTATGTTTCTTGAGCTGAACAGATGTCCAGATTGGTGACAGAGGTATTTTATTTTTTAATTTTTTTTGATACCAGGGACCAAAGCGGTATTTGACTTTTTTTTTGTCTTTTTCCTTTTTATCGGTACCAGGGATTGAACTCATGACTGCCTGCTTGCAAGGCAGGTGCTTATGCCGCTGAGCTAAACCTCCAGCCCCCAGAGGTATTTTACTTTAAGTAAAAATCTTTAGAGCAAAGTTCTATTCTTATAGCTGTCCTTTTCAGGAATATTTAATAATGGTCATAAACTACAGATACTTGCTTCTTTTAAATGTTTTAATTAAAATTTTTTTCACTTCTTTAGGAAAACATCTGTGTTTAATCTATCAATATTGCTTCACCTAAAGCTGCTAGCTGTGGGAACTTAGCCAGTCAAGGCAGTCTGTGTTTCTTGGGTCTAGTGAACAATCACTAGAAAGGACTGTACAAATAAGCAGCAGCAGTGGTGCAAGTACTGAGAAGCAGACAACGGTTTTCCATTTCCTACCTTCCATTTTGAGGGCAAGCAGGGGAGCACAGCTGTAGCAATAGAAAGACTGCTTCTTTAACACTACAATTCTTAAGTTTATTTGTGGTGCTGGAGATTGAACCCAGGCCCTTGTTCACGTATTCTACCACTGAGCTACATCCCCAGTTCTTACATTGATTTTTAAGTCTATTCTATGCACACAGAGTTCAAGAAAACAAATACTACTCCTATGAATTAGAATAAAATAAAAACCCACACTAAGATCTTTTACTGTTCTCAAGTACTTCTACTACTTTATCCTATGACTCATTACTAGTGGGATGGCAGTCTCTTCTGAATAAGAAAAGTAATAGAATCAAAAAGGGAAAATGTGAGATGCTAGACAAATATCTGAGTTTTCATTCTAATCTTTGCCATGTTTATACTCAGCCCCTACAATGTGCTAGGTGCACTGGCAGATGTAAAAGAAGGCAAGGACTACATTTGACCTTACAAAATTTACAATTTATCATGGAAGAAAAAAATTAAATAAAATAGATGATAAAATCTGATAAGATTACTAAACCAGTGAAACTGATTACACCTGTAATCTTTAAAACTTATCAGTTATCTGGACAAATTGTATTGTATGTCTCCTGGTTGGAATTCAAAAACAGTTTCCCACAGAAATAATGTTATGTATATGGCACTTAGGTTTCCAGGAATATCTGAAATTCTTAAATTTCTAAGTATGAGTGCTATAGACTCTAACCATATATAGCAGTGCCATGTGGGAAAGTATGAATAGAATTCTAGCATGGGATGCCTGAAGCACAGCTCCCTGTGTTATCAGGATATGGGCAGGATTAGGCCACCTTTTAGCAAAACTGACCAAGTTGGGAGAATAAAACCCTACAGCCATCTAAGGGACCCTCAGAGGTGCCACCTTGGCAGGGCCCAAGGATAAGGACCTGGGAGTTAGAGTAGTAGGGTAAAGAGACCTCAGGGGAATGCCTTTGTTTATCTGGAAGGTCCTCTGGTCCTTTTCTCTCTATTCCTCCCTGCTCAACTCCTTCTCCTCCTTTCCTTTTGTAACCCATGGAGGACAGACAGCAGTTCCACAGCTCCCCCCTTGCTTCCAGGGTAAACACATAGGGTCCATTTAAGGGGTATTTACCAAACAACAATTATATTTTTCATTTCAACTCCATACCTCTGTCTCCACCTTCACTTTCAGTGTTGCCATCACTATGCAATAATTGTATTATGATTGTTTTAAAAATTGAATTCTTATCTTTTAGAGATATACAATGAAATATTTATAGAAATAGTGATATGTTTTGGATTTACCTCATGATAATCTTGTGGGGAGACACAAGAATGGTGAAGTACACATAAAGTAATCCGAAGCTAGCTGGTGGAATTAATATACCATTCTGTCTACTTTTGATTATGTGTGAATTTCCCATAAGAATGTAGAATACACCAAAAGGGTGGAGTTGAGGATGTGTCACAGCAGTTGAGAATGAAAAGTGAAGGGGGTCATCAGGCTGCAGCAGAAGTGCTCAAGTAACCACTCACTTGATTCAGGACCTGGTACAAGTACGAGAAAAGTTCAGAAAAGGGAGAACACAAAACAAGCTGTACCATTAAGGGCAAGAAGATGATAAAATTTAAGAGCCACGAGAAAGAGGTAAGATTTAATTGGGCTGAAGGTAAAGAGGACAGTTCAAATGGATGAAAAAGCATGAAAGACAGCAACACAGAAAACAGGAAGCAGATCCCACATGGAGTAAGAGGGAAAGAAGTTGCACTTGGAGCTTTGTTAGCAGGTGAGTGCGGGATGACCCTTTAGGAAGAGTAATTCCATGGCAGTGTGGAGGACTACAGTATATTAGGATTGAGTTGGTATGATCCTTCAGGTGGTAGATAGAGGCTTGGTGTCAAGCCTGAAGAAAGCAACAGAGACAAAGGATGACAGGAGAACAACTCAGGTGTTAGGGTCAGGGAAGGAGATTTGGAAGACAGCTCATCTGAGAGACTGAGTACTCACATGTAGCCTCCATGAGGGAGAATAGGGAAGTTTCAGACCAGAGAACAAACTCCAGAGAAATCAGAAAGAAATGAGAGAAAAAGCAAAGAAGCAGCACAGATGATTTAAAAAGTGTCAGTCAAGCACTATGGAACCCAAGGATTGAAATGCTACAAAAAAGTATAGTTAGGGCCAGGGATTTAACTCAGCGGCTTAGGCCCTTGCGTGGCAGGCACAAAGTCAGGAGTTCAATCCCCAGTTTAAAAAAAAAAAAAAAAAATCACAGGGTTTGTTTGGATTTTAGGAAACCTCAGGATGCCTTGTTTTAGTCAAGTAAAAATGAGAACCAGTTTGTAGGTAGTTAAGAGGAGTGTAAAAAAATATGGAAAACAGGGTAAAGATCTATTCAAGTAAAGAAAACAAAAGGAAGGAGACAATTGTGGGTACATTACAGAAGTATATGTGTAGAAGAATTAAAAACTTTTTTTGTTTGTTTTTTTGTATTTTGAGACAAGGCCTCACTATGTAATTCAGGCTGGTCTTGAACTTGTGGCCATTCTCCTGTATCAGTCCCCCAACTTCTGGGACTATGGGCATGTACCACTATATCTGACTTTTAAAATCTATTTTTAATAAAGAACTCATATATTCAATGATAAAAATAATTAAATCAGGATGTGGTGATACATGCCTATAATCCTAGCACCCAGGAGGCTGAGGCAGGAGGACTGCCCTGAGTTTGAGGTCATTCTGGGCTAAATAGTGAATTCAAGCCCAACTTGGACTAAGTGAGAGACTATTTAAAAAAAGAAAAAAAAAGGGGGCTGGGGATTTAGCTCAGTGGCATAAGCGCCTGCCTTGCAAGCAGGCAGTCGTGAGTTCAATCCCCGGTACTGATAAAAAGGAAAAAGACAAAAAAAAAAAAAAAAAAAACCCCACAAAAGAGGGTGCTAACACAGAAGATATGATTTTCCTCAGGAAATAAGGTAGGGTAGCATTGGTGAGGAAATAAAAACCATCCTATCTAAAAAGACAGAAGGATGCTGGTCCGATGGCAGTGGGTTATCAGAACTTATTAACATTAGTGTCACTAAAGTTGGTATACCACCCCCCTACTGCTAAATTTGACTGGAAAAAAAGAAAAAAGAAAAAAGAAAAAACAAATAAAAAGACAGAAGGAAGAGTCTAAGGTTGGGACAATGTTGCATATACAAGGTGTACTTAGGGCAGACTCACAGAAAATGAGATGTGAATGGAAACTGACACAGTCCAGCCAGTAGGGACTGTGGGTTAAGAACTCAGGTATCATATTACAGCCTGAACATCATTTAAGAAAAATCACCTGATGACAGTGTATAAAATCTGCCTGGACAGTAGATGTTCAGAGAGAAAAGACTGGAGGTAGAGAGCCTGGTTTTTTTTTCTTTTTTTGGTTTGAGAGACAGGGTTTCCTTTTGTAGTGCAAGCTGCCCTTGAACTATGTAGCCCAGGCTAGCCTTGAACTTGCAGAAATATCTTGCCTCAGCTTTCTGAGAATGTACTACCACATCCATCAAGAGTTTGGTTTAAAGAGTATTTTTAAATAATCTTTTGGTGGTACTAGGAATAGAACCCAGCACCTTCGAATTAAGCTATAACCCAGTACCTTTAAAATTTGTTTTTAAATATTAACACAGGGTCTTATTAAGTCACTAAATTACCTTGACTAGGTTTGAACTTGAATCCTCTTGGTTCAGCCTCCCAGGGTGCTGGGATTACCAGTGTGAGCCACCACACTCAGCTAAGAGTTTCTCTAAGGGAAAGTCACACTATCTAGGCACTGTAAATACTAATCATCTTCCTTTACATTTATCTTCTTACCCTATCTAGAAATCTCCGAGACACCTTTGAAAATGGCCACATTCAATCAAAGGAAAATTAAGCAGACTGGGATCTCATGGCAATGATTGATGGCAGGTCAGTGAGAACATAAGCAGACAACTCAACACACATTCAGGGCTCCAAAAGGTTCACACAGGCTTATAGAAAATTACTGTGAGTACTCCTTTCCTCTCAAAAAAAGGTAGAGCTATGTAAGTCCATGAAATGTTCACCCTTGTATTCTCTCTCTGCTCATTCATATGATCTTAATTTTTGCCTTAAACCACACATACCACATAAATACAGTGGCACCTCCATTAATGAACTTAATTCATTCCACAACTCTGGAAAAGATGGCCATGATTATGTTCCTGTGGGAAAGATGGCCACAGTTGTGTTTGTTACCTAATGCACAGTTCTCACACAAAACCAAAATTTTGCCAAGTGCTTCTGTTTGTAAACCAAAGTTGTTTACAAACAGAAGCATTTGTGAACTAAGGTATCACTGTATGGTTTTTCTGGGTGTGAGAGACTGAACTCAAGAGTCTCAAATATGCTAGGCAAGCTCTCTACCACCTGTAGCACTCTAGGTATTTTTAGTCATAAGTTTTGAATGCTGAATAGTTAGTACTTATGATATTGTTTAGATTAACTACCACATATCAGACCAATTATGATAGGTAGCTAAATACTTTCTTCTACATTAAAGAAAACATAAATAAGAGGACTTACACTATTTTATTACTTTGTTATGGAAGGCTTTTTCTTCCTTCTAATTAAAGTACTACACAAATTTGAAGGACTAAAAAGACAAAATTATCTTTATAGTTTCTTTTTCTCTTCTTGTCAGTGCTAGGGATTAAACCCAGGGCCTTGTGCATAAAAGGCAAGTGCTCTACCACTGAACTATACCCTCAGCCTTTCCCTTGACTGTTACAAGTTCTAATCTGGTAAGTTATTTTGGGTATTTTGAAACAGGATTGCCCTATGTAGTCCACCCTGGTCTCAAACTTGTAATCATTCTGCCTCAGCCTCCCAAATGCTAGGTCATAAGTGTGAGCCACCAATATTAGGTATAACCTAATGTTTCTATCCTATGGATAACTATGTACTTCATACAAAATAAAGTAGATTCATAATCTAACAGCTTGAAAATGGAGGTCACAAGGGAACCAAAGGTTCCAGTTTGTCTTGGCTACTGGTGGCAAACCAGTGGCACATGAGATGCAGCTGGCTGTTTGTCATCATTGAAAGCTCTATAAGGCTCGCTATCACTGTCCTAGGCACTGCCTCACTGTCCAGTTTTCTTGGGACCATGACATTTATGAATGTTCAACTTCAGGACTATACTGTAGGCCACAGAAGCCCATAGAATTCTTCTACTGCTCTCACAACTGCATGAAAACTAAACCTTATACTAAATTCGTTATTCTCTAGTAGTTCAGTTTTCTTCTTCTACACTTGATATACTCCCTTGTAATTTTACTAAACAAATGATACTAAGATATCTCTGTAGGCTGTACTATAACTACAGAGCAGTTCAACTCTACATGCCAGGCAGGAAAATAAAGATAACTTCTTTATCAAGACTTCCAAGGCCAGGTGTGGTGGTGCGGATTGCTGAGTTCTAGGCCAATCTAAACTGCACTGTGAAACTTTGTCTCAAAAAGCAAAAAAAAAAAAAAAAAAAAAAGAAGACAAGACAAGACTTCCATGCCCAGCAAGTATGGTGCTATGGAAAGGCCAAAACTTACAGCCAGCAATTGCATAGTGAGCAGAGAAAAAGGATGCACAATAATCATCTCACAAGAAGCCATTCGGGTTATCTTTTATAAATAAAAGACAGAACTAAATAAATAAATAAAAGACATGACCTTACAGATCTATCTACATTTGAGTTTTTGTCTCAGTCTGCATAGGTGGAAGAGAGGAATGGTCTTTAACAGTTATTAGTACTTCATTTATTAAAAACTATACCTAGATTTTCAAGGTTACTTTTATTATTCCCCCATGACAACCCATACTCTTACATTTACCTGAAATTCATCCATGATACTGAATGTATACTCATGCCTGGCCACTACATGATGACAGTTTTTACACAGATCTGCCAAAACAAAAAGATACTTACATAATTAAGTCTTGGAAAGCTTCTTAGAAGAGTAAAAATTGTACTCTCAGCAAGATATTATAAAAAGAATATTAGTTCTGTCACAAGTAACACAGCAGAAAACCAGTTATAATACTGACTTTCCTAAGAACTTCAGAATCTGTCACATAGCAATACTATAAAATTAGGATCTGAATTCAGAGGCATAATGTGCATACATTAATTCCCACCAAAAGCTCTCCAAAATAATCAATTAACAGACACATGAGTGTGGTATTTTTTTACATTTTTGTCTTTTTCGTTTTTATCAGTACCAGGGATCGAACTCACGACTGCCTGCTTGCAAGGCAGGTGCTTATGCCGCTGAGCTAAATCCCCAGCCCCATGAGTGTGTTTTTTAAACTAGCTGGATCTATCTAAGTATGTGAAAGATTTAATTCTCAGGAATGACAGTAACTGTGCTATCATCAATCATTAATAAAAAACAATGCTGGAAATTAAAGTGAATTTAATGGTAATGAAAGAATGGAGGAAAAACAATGCTGTAATAACTATGATTTATTCAGTATTTCCTGTGTGCCAGATTTTTTTTAAAATATATTTTGTGGTACTACAGATTAAATATAGCAGCTTTGCCCAAACCCTTTAGTGACAGGTTCTTGCTAAATTGTTAAGCTGCCCAAGCTGGGGTAAAACATAACTGTCTTATCTTGGCCTCCAAGAATGCTAGGATTACAGGTATGCCACCAGCACAAGATACTCTTTTAAGTATTTTTCACCTATTTATTCATCAAATCTTCTAAAAAACTCAATGAGTTAAATATTATTATTGATTTTTAAAAAAAATAAATAAGGAAAGAAAGGAACATGGTAGTTAAGAAAGTAAGACAACCACTAAGGGGTGAGGTGTTGAAACCAGAGTTCAAGCCCAAGCAATTGGGCTCCAAAGCCTCTCCTCGTGAGAACTGTGTGCTACTGCCTAGAACACAACACAGTTTCAGGAGAACATAAGCTTTGTATCTCTTTCAAAATGTACTAAAAATATGCCCAAGAACGAGGAGACAAGCAAGAAGGGAATGTGAGCAGTTTAAACACTATGACAATATCCACGCATACATAATGTATACATATGACTTAATTTACTCAGTCATTCTTATCCCCCGGAATGGAGTTATTTTTATTAATTTGGTTTCCCAATATTGAGGATAAGGAATAGCATGTGAAGATAACACATTTACAAAAGCAAACTCAAGAAACAACAGACTGATAACCAGATAGAAATAAAAAAAAAAAAAAAAAAAAAAAAATTCAAGCAACAAGTTATAAAAGCAAAAATAATAATGAAAAAACATAGCATCCTGGAGTCATCTAGTTTAGGGCAAAGAGCCCCAAACACTTTAATAATTGTTAGAAGTCATCACTGCATGTGTTATAATAGAAAGTGAAAACTCTGAGATGACTCTATAGGTTTAAAAAAAAAAAAAGTGTCTGTTTCTTATCTGAGGTAGTAAAAAAGTCTTTAACATGTTGCTGAAGAAACGATTTAATAAAAAAATGTGGTACCTGAAGCACAGGCTTCAGTTATCTGCAAAAATCATTTATGTGGAGAATCTGATAATATTAAATAATAAGCTGTTAACTACATTTTACTGTTAAAAACCTAACTAGTGACAGGTTGTAGCAATACAATATGCTCCAAAATATTTATATAACATATCAAACCTCCAAATCTGACACCTGTTAACAGATTTGCATTAAAACACAAACCAAAAAAGTAACCCACTTACGATCATAGGTCACTATTTCTTCTCCATCTTCCTCTTTTAGGGATTTGTTTGTGATCAGCATAAAATCCCGCTTATTGCACACTGCACAGCCTGTAAAGTTCAGTAAGAAAGATCCATTCTCCAGACAGGTGTTACCCTAAAATATTAAAAATAGGAATTTAATTCTCTTACTTTTTGATATCTTTTGTGAAAGTGAATAATAGATTTATATTCTCTAAAAGTAAAAAACATGGCCAGAATTTACTTGAAGTATGCATCAAGTAGTTCATCAGCTTTCCTAAAGACGTGCTATTCATGATTAACAAAAGCTGAAGTACTGTTAAGTCCGTAAGTCTCACAAGACAGCAACTGTACACAAAGGAGCAAATCGCAAGCAGACAGAAACACAATGAAATACCTTTTTCTCAAGCCTTAATAATATCACAAAACAAACCAAAGCACTCAGATCCAGAGATGTCAGTTTTGAAAGATACACGTGATTCTGGCAGAGAATACCAATTCCATGATGCATTAGCCTGATGTACAGCACTGAAGAAAGACAAGGTTTAGATTCACCACTAAGAAATAGTAAACAACTTACACTCCTGGCTTAAAGGAACTCTACTAAGGTCTTAACCGTTAAGGATGAAGTTGTTTTACAAATAATCTAGCCTAACCTATTTCTGGGCAACAAATTTAGAGTATTTAAAAATAGTAGGGGGCTGGGGATTTAGCTCAGCGGCATAAGCACCTGCCTTGCAAGCAGGTGGTCGTGAGTTCGATCCCCGGTACCGATAAAAATGAAAAAGACAAAAAAAAAAAAAAGTCAACGTGACTAAAATCATCTAAATCAACATTTCCCCAAAGCATTTATGTGCCTGATACTACGTAAAGCATCATGGAGGATTCAAGGACAAGCCAACAAGTGTTTTTACCTTCAAGGGGCTTAAGAATTAATCTCTGCCCTAAGACCTACCTTAATGCCACAATAAGTCTTTCTGGATTCCCGCACCACATTAATCTCTTTCTTCTAAGAGCCTTCTCAGGCCTATGTATGAAGGAAGAGATTAACCTTGGTGGGGGGAAATCAAGACACTAATATCTAGTTTAGAGATATTAAATCATTGACTTAACTACAAGTGGAAAAGAAAACCTTGGAATTAAGGTATAAACTTACTTGTAGCCATCAAAAACAAGTACTCTGACTTGCTTATTTTTTTAAATGTATACTGAGGTATCATTTACAGACAATAAAATTCACATATTGTAAGGACAGAGATGAATGAGCTTTTAAACAAACACATATATCCATATAGCCACAACCCTATCAAAATACAGAACATTTCTTCTTCCTTAGAAGTTTCTTCATACTTTAAGCATATATCAACTTCTATTCCATACCAGGGACCCAACAATCTGATTCTTTCTCTACATTCCTGCAAGTCCCACCATTTCATAAGGAGTATACCAGTGTACAAATTCATCTGTTGAGGGACACTTGGAACATCTTCAGTTCTGGATTATAAATGAATAAAACAACTATGAAGATTCGTTGGAGTACTACTCAGCCATTAAGAAGGATAAACTGGAGACTTTATTGTTGCATTAGTATGAGAAGCTGAAAGAAACAACATATGTATATGTAAAAGATAATTAACATAGTTATACTAGTGATTTCTGAGTTCACTGAAGAGGATGACTTGTGCTGGTATTGTTCAGACAACTGAATGCAGATGTTTTGTGCTCTGGGTTTTTGTGCAAAGTATGTACCATTGTTGCCCCTGATTGGTATGTTTTGAAATTTTTAGGATTTTTTTCTTTTTCTACTTGAAATAAAATGGATTTGGAAAAAAAAGATTTATGCCCAAGTGTGTGGGTGTCTTCTCTCAGGTATCTGGAAAGAGAATTGCTGAGTCCATCATCTGGTTAAAAAAGTACATTTAACTTTGTAAGAATCTGTCCAATGGTTTTCCATTTTAAAGGGCTATCAACAAGGTGTGAGTTCCACTTGCTCCAGTCTTTTTTACTTTACCCAGTCTCATTATGAAGTGGTAGCATCACTATAGTTCTCATTTGGGTTTCCCTCATGATTAATGATGTTGAGCACTTTTTCTTTGTGCCCACTTATGACTCCTTTAGTGAACTGTCTATTGAAATCACCAAGTATGTGTAGTCACCAAAGTATATGCTCCTTTTTAAAGTTAGGCTGCTTGTCTTCTTATATTAAGAATTCTATATATATCTTGGATACAAGTTTTTTTTTTTTTTTTTTTTTGCCAAATAAAACAAAGATTTTCTTGTCATTAGTTTTTTTTAAAAATGATGCTTTTTGAAAATCAGTGTTGAATTTTATAAACTTTATCATTTTTTCTTGTCCCCTTAGACATCTTTGCTTATTCCAAAATTGCAAAACTGCAAAGATTTTCTCCCGTTTTCTCTTAGAAGTTTTATAGTTTTAATTTGTAGGTTTTGGTTTATGATCTATCTTGAAATAATTTGGTATGAGGTAGGGATCAAACTTCCATTAAGATACTCAGTTGTTCTGAAAGGGTAATTAAAATTTTAAATAAAATCCTGTCAAGAAAGCCTGCCAAGACCAAGCAGACATGTCTGGACCAACCTGATAATAAAACATTCCTGTTTGTGTAAGCTGGTTTAACAGATGGCCTTGAAATGTAACTTGAAATGTTCCTCTGTGTAACCCGTCTCTACTGCCTTTCTATAATTGATGACCTTCCAATGCAACTTAAAGTGTAATAGGACATTGCTTCCTCTGTATAACCCATGCTCTGTACATCTTCAGCCTTTCCTTCATTTTCATTTTCCTTTTCTGTTTCTTTCCTTCTTTTTGGTACTAGGGCCCTTTATTGAGCTACATCCTCAGACCTTTTTTTCTTTCTTTTTAAAGATAAAGAGTTTTCCGTAAGTTGTCCAAGCTGGCTTCAAACTTGAAATCCTCCTGCCTCAGAGTACTGGGATCACAGGCATGTGTCACCATGCCTAGTTGAGACTATGGTTTTTAAAGAATCAACTTCATATTTTGTTGGGTTTTTTTCCCCTGTTTTTCTATTTCTTATTTAATTTCTACTTTATTTCCTTTCTTCTGCTTATTTTAGGTCTAGTTGGCTCTTGATTTTCCATTGTTGTAGTGTTTGCCTATTGATTTATGATTGTTCTCTTTTTATTATAGGCATTTATAACTGTAACACTTAAAAATGCAGAATAGCATTTTAAAATACCCAGTCACATATGTTTTATGTAGTTATATAGCCCACTCAGCATTTAATTAAAATTGGCTTAATCCTATCTACTAAGCAAGAATTTGAATACATGAACTCTGGTAGCTTACTTTTAAAATAGGTATAAAACACGTAACTTTTAATTTAAACTTATTCATTTATACTGATTAATCTAATGACTTATGTCTCCATTTCTGTCATATTATTTCAAAGTTTATAGCTAACACTTGAAATATATGAAATGTAGGTTTCATTTGAATTTGATTTGTAAAAAGTTTTGTTACAACTGGGTGTGGTGATGCATACCTATGATCCCAGCACTTGAGAGACTAAGGCAGGAAGATTGCTGGAGTTTGAGGCCAGCCTGGGATATATAGTGCGTTCAAGGCCAGCCTGAACTACAACAGCGACACCTCGTCTCATAAAACCAAACTTAGGGGTCAAGGATTTAGGTCAGTAGCATAAATGCCTGCCTGGCAAGTGTGAGATCATGAGTTTAATCCCCAGTACCAAAAACAACAAACCCCAAAAATTAGATTTAAAAAAACTTATTACAGTTTTGTTCTGTTCAGTTATTTCAGAAAATGCAATATGGTTCTAGTTCTAAATGGTTTTCTAAATACTTTTTTGAACAAAAAATATTTTTGGTTCACAGTTCAGTCTAAAAATTTAGCTTTAGAAAATTAGTATGGTTAATTTCCAACTATATTCACGTTTGAGTTCAAGTTCTCAGTGTAACACTACAAGTAGGGCAGAGCCCTGTTAGGAATTCAGTACTGTGTTATTTCTAGTCTATGAAAAACATCAATCAGTAAACCCCAGCTACTTTATGTAACCAAGGATAAATAATTAAATACCACTTACTTATTGAGCACTTACTCTCCCGACAAGCTAATCTATTTTCTCTGCCAATTTTTTTTTGAATTAGGGAACTATATTTGCTGCTTCCATTTTATTACCTTTTCTTTTGCTAAGCTCAAGCAAAGTGGCTTCTACTTTTAATGTCCTTAAAAGATGATTTCAAACTGAAGAGAGTCCTTAATATTTCAAACAGTACACTGAACAAGGGGGCTCAATTCCTCTAAGTTACCCATCTCATTTTAGAACATCTGCTAGCAAGTTCTTTATTCTGAGTCAAAGTCTATCATAACCCTGAATATCCACCCACTCACTGAATCTGCCTTCTGAAATTCCAAAGAAAAGTTAATTATTCATGACAGCCTTTAATTATTTCAGAACAGAATAAAACAGGGAAGTGCTTTGGAAAGGCACTTTCCTGGTTTTCCAATCATCTTAATCCTTACTCTTTCTTTAGATTTTAAATTTTTTTTATTTCTAATTTAATTTATTCTTTGAAGCTCAGTCTTTAGTTCTCTACATTGTTTTCCACAAGAACAAATCTTTTCTATTTTGACATTTTTATTTTGCCTGACTCATATTCAAACATATCTTCACAGCTCCTTAGATGTTACATTCTCAACCTCAAATGAAGCATGACAAAAAACAACTTCACCATCTGCAGCCCCAATTTTGCTGCTCCTTCTCATATGCCTCTAATGTCTGTGATATTTCCAATTGGCTGCCTAGTTTGGAAACTCTCAAGATCATATGTAGCTTTTCCCTTTTTCCTCCTACATGAAACAAAGTTCCTTCTCTGAAATTAGGCCTACACCTTCCCATGCCTACACTGTTGCCTCATTCTGTGGGGTCTCTTTCACACTCCAAACCCTATTCTACTGCCCCAATGTACAGCCATGATTTGTATTTCCTAACAACAGATTTTGGAATCATTTCCTATACAAAATCATTTTGATGGTTGCCTATAGCTACAAAAAGTAAAATCTAAACTTCTGAGTATGACTGAGTCTTTCACTTGGCTCTACTCTGAAGAATTCAACCTAATCTCTTTAGTAACCTCCATTGAAAACTTTTCCCTCATGGTCCCTGTAATATGCAATAGCCCTTTCTAAATTAAAAAAATGTATGAAATAGAATACAGAAAACCATGAGACATAAGCACACAGAGTAATGAATAATTGTGAACATCTGTAGAACCATCACTCAAATAAAACAATGCTTGCATACCAAAGCCTTGTCTTCTTTCCTGATCATGACCCTAATCTACTTAATCCAGGGGTTGCAAACCTGTGATACATGTGCTGCATTGGGCTGTTATCAATGAAATCTCTAAAAGGGTTGCTGTCATTGTCCTAATCCACTAGCAATAATCCACATCACCACTTTATGGTAAGTGCTTGCATTCCTTTATAGTTTTTACCACCCAGGAACATTTTCCTTTTTTTGGGCAGGAGTGTATGACTGGAAGTTAAACCTAGAGCCTTCCCACAGAGCTTACATCCCCACTCTTTTTCAAAATAATTTTTGAGACAGTTTCACTAAACTGCCAAATTACTCAGACTCAACTCAAACTTGGAATCCTCCTGCATCAGCCTCCAAGAGTGCTGGGATTATAGGAGTGCATCCCCAAGCCTGGAGTTACGGTTTATATTCAGATGTCCCCCCAAAACCCCATGCAGTCATGGGTGGGGCTTTTCAGAGATGCTAGAGTGTGAGATGCTGTGATCAAGGATGTGATGCTTGATTTATGGTATGATGCTAGCATTAAGGGTGTTCCACCCTGAGGGTGAGTGCTACCTGTGCTAAAGATGGGTAGTCTGGATAGGTTATAAGGGACAGAAAGAGGGCTGCTGCCGTTGCTGCTTGTCACTTGCTACTTTCTTGTTACTTTGCTGCCTTCCTGCCTACTGCTTGCCACAAACTGTTTCTCCTTTGCAGTGTCCCGCTGTAATGCCATTATGCCTTAGAGCCAGCCAACTATGAACTGAAACCTCTACAAACTGTGAGCTACAATAAATCTTTCCTCCTTTAGCTTTGGGTGTCAGGTATTTTGTCTCAGCAACAAGAAAAGTAAGACACCTGGCTTACCTTGTCTGTGTCTGAATTATACTTGATTTTTTTTTTTTAATCACACAGTACTGGTAAGACCAGGTTGTGTGTAACTTTCATTCATTTTAACTGTTCTAATTCAGTTTTCCTTACCCTCAGCTCTACTGACATTGGGTCATACAATTTTTTGTTGTGGCAGCTGTCCTGTGTATTATGGGTGTTTAGTAGCATCAATGGCCTGTATCCATTAGGTATCAACTGGTATTCCCCACTGTGACAACCAAAAGTGTCTTCAATTATTAACAAATATTCTCTGGAAGGCAAAACCGCTCCTGGTTGAGAATCATTCCTCTAATTCACTCACTTTTATTTCTTATTCTTTCCAAGTCTGCTACGGAATATTCTTATACAAATCTCCAGAAATATATGCACATGCATTTTTGCTAGAATAAGAATTATGGGGTTGGGACTGGGGATTTAGCTCAGCAGCATAAGCACCTGCCTTGCAAGTGTGTGGTCGTGAGTTCGATCCCTGGTACCGAAAAAGACAAAAAAAAAAAAAAAAAAAAAAAAAGAATTTAGCTCAGCAGCTCCAGTACTTGCCTGGTAAGCTCAAGGTCATGAGTTTGATCCCCAGTACAAAAAAAAAAAATTATTGGATCATTTTAATGTACATTCTAACTTCATTTGACATAAAAACCTTTTTTTCAAAAGTGGTTTTTGACAATTCATAGTATATAACTTTCTCAAAAGACTAAACTATTAAGAAGGTAGCAGCTGTAGAGAGCTTCTACCTCCCAACCAAAGCAAAAATTGTTACTTTCCTCCAGCTTCCAGCTCCTTTCCTACCCTAATGACAACTATCCTTCAAGTCATAACTCAAGTCCACTTTTTGGGGGGAAGTACAGTGCCATCCTATTCCCTATCACTTTCCTTTCTCTAAATTTAAATAGCATTTACGGTTTGTCCTATTCATTTCTGTTAATCACATCCACCGCCTTCCTCCCAACTTGTAAGCTTTTAAGTTATTCCTTTATGGTTAGCAAAGTAATCTAGCTATATACATCACATCTGCTGAAAGAATAAGAAGAGACAAGCTTTGAAACTTCTCGGGCCTGAGGGGAACAGAGACTACAAAGAAAGTCACAACTAGAAAAACTGAATTCTCATCTTGCCTCTAATATTATCTAGAATGTGACCTTGCGCAAAGGATTTCCCATCTCTGGGCTTTACGTCTCATCATCTGCAAAACTAGGTCAGAAGTTCCTTTTTGGGCGGTATGGAAACTGAACTTCATTAAGACCACCTCGAGGTTTACAGCGAGGGTGGGAATGGGAGGTTACAGTCCATTTGGGTGACGGTGCTATTTTCTTGGTTGTCCCCAAGGGCTGCCGAGAAAGGGAATGTTGGCCCATGCTAGCTGCCAGGACCGGGACTCGCGGGCACTGACTGCCACAGGCCGCGCCCGTGACCAGCGCCTAAGTATAGACAGGGCACCGGAAGGGGCCCAGCCTGTCTGCGAAGACCGGCCGTGACGTGAGGAGCCTCAGGGGCAGACCATGGGGCAGGGAGGAGAACGTTCTTGGTGCCTACTAGCTCACCCGGTTGGGATATTCCTTCTCCACACAGTCCCCACACATCTCTACGCGGCTGACCGGGAACGACCTCTAGCGCTTCCGGGAGACAAAACCTCGCGAGAGCTGAGGGACGGTGGCCGCATGCGCCTTAAATACTCTACTAGGTTCTTTGGCCTTGGTAATGTATTCGAAGTCCCGCCCCCTAGCAACTGTCGTTAGGGCAAGGAACACAGAAGTCTCTCCAGCAACAGAGGTAGGCAAGGGTTGGGAGCTCAGAAATAAATTTTGAGAAAGAAGAAAGTTCCGAAGACTGACAGATGTGGCCGGAAGGGGATGTACATCTCGGACCAAGGGAACTTCTAATAGGCGCCTTCCTGAGCTTAGACTGACGGAAAAGCAATCACGACTACCTAGAGAGGAAATTGTTTCTCACTGCCTCTGCTTACTCTGTGCATTAAAAAAATAGATAATGCCTTAAATAGCTTTCTGTATCATTTCTTAGAGCAGACAGACTGATCAGAGATCAGATCTCGGCGGGTGGATTAAACAATAACTGAAGGATTTTGGAAAGAGGCACTAAGTTCACAGAATCTCCCAAGGAACATGTTAAACAAGTGACCATCCTAGAGTCTTCTGAGGACATAAAGATGGGAAACTTCTTCCGCCCCCCCCCAAAGAAGTGTATTGGTGCTTGTATTGTCACCATGTCTCTTCCTTTCCCTTTGCGTTGAAAGCATTTTATTAATCACAACGACATAATTAACTTGAATCAAATCTCCAAAGTCTGTCTATGTGCTTTTGATAAACCTGTTTTCATCATGTTCAACTACTACACCATCCCTCCTAACAGTGCTATCAAATCAGGGAAGAAAAATTAGGGAACATGAAACTCTGGGATCTAGACTCTTCAAAGTAAGCCAGTTTAATTGGGTTTTCTAATGTAAGAATTATGTCTCCATTGGAGAATTTAAATTATAACCTTTAGTATCCCAGCCAATGATAAAGATCTGTAATGCTTACTGAAAATCAAAGATGTACTAAGAAACACTGCATGAAATAGAGCCACCAGAGTTTAGTTTATTCTTGGGATAATTATAATACCTTCTATTTACATGACATTTTCAACATTTCCAAATGCCCTCATTTAAGTTTCTAATTTGATGCAACCACAGTCCTGTAATATTGGTGAGAAGTGTGTCCCTTCTTTTCAGATGAGGGAAGGAAGAAAGTAAGTGGTTAAAGGTCTTGTTTGTGGTCCCAAAACTACTCAGTACTCAGCCAGGACTAGGACCATGATCCTATTCTCAGCGCAATTTCTAACACAAAACCACCGGCCACAAAGGCTATAAAGCACTTTAAATGTGACAAATTTGAACTGACATTTGTTGAATGTATACTAGATTTCAAAAAGTATGAAAAGAAGGTCGAACACCTCAAAACTTTCAATCAGTAGTTTATTTTTATGGTACTAGGGATTGAACTCAAGTCCTTTGCCCTGAGCTATATCCCCAGTCCCTTCCTTTTTTATTTTTTATTTTGAGACAAGATTTCCCTAAATTGTTAAATTGCCGGGGCTGAGCTTGAACTTTTAATTCTCCTGCCTCAGCCTCCCAGGAGTGGTAGAATTACAGGTGTGAACAATTACACCTGACTGCATCTCAGTATCTTTGATATGATTACGTTAAAATAATGTTTTTGATGCATTAAGTTAAACACATTGATTAAATATTTTTTGGCACTCAATGTGAAGTGGCCCAGAGAAAATGAGAAGACAAAGATTAAGAGCGGCCTTTAATGTGAGAGGCTGCAGAAAAAGTTCTCGCTGCAGCGAGGTCAAAGAAGTGTAGCTACTTTTATCCGATTTGGCTGGAGGAGGAGTTTGTGAGGCGGGCAAAATGACATATTAACAGCTGATTTGAAGGAGCATATGCAAAGCAGGAAACAAGGGTTTGCTGGGGAATGGGGATGGAACACTTGGGTATTTGTGGAGTCTTGGGATAGAAGAGGTCTCAGCGCACACACACAAAAAGGGAGCGGGAGGTTTAATGGAGTGAGAAGCAGAATGCAGAAGGTACTCTTGGAGAGATACGTTGTTTCCCTGGGTCTGGTACCAAGTTGGGCTGATGTCATGTTACAGATAGCTAAGCCCCAGGCTAACAAAATCTATCAAATATATTTTTGCTTTTTTTTCCAAATCCATTTTATTTCAAGTAGAAAAATAAAAAGAAAGAAGAAAGAAAAAGTATATATAATTGAAGTTAACTACATGTTTTTGTTTTAATAGAAATGAATATTTAACCCCCACATGCAGAGTAAGCAAAGCAAACATCATTACTATTCTTGATACATCAAACTGAATTCAAGGAATGTAATAAAGTCTGCTTTAGAAATATTACATATAAATCTGGGTGTGGTTGTGAACGCCTGTAATTCCAGCACTTGGGAGGCTAAAACAGGAGGATTGTTTCTAGTTCAATACCAGCCTGGGCTACATAGTGAGTTTAAGGCTTGCCTGAACTGTCTCAAAAAGAAAAATAAATATATAAATGAAACATTGCATAGCAAAAGATTGAATTAACAAACAATTGCATACTTTAGTTTTTTCTCATCATTATACATTGACGTCTACTTATAGCAATACTGAAGGTACACATTTTTAAAAAATATGAATACTGGAAAAATTTTAAGTACACAGGTAGCTCTCACTTTATTCCTATTAGACAAGATTGGTCTACACAGTTCCCTCATCTTTAAATTCTTTTTGTTTTTAAAATCTAATAACATCTTTTAACTTTACTAAACCCTGTGCCTATTCTCTTCATTTCTATAGATAGTTACTGAATGCATTTGATGTGTGCAAAGAATTGAGTAGACAAGATGAAAATGACACTGTTGTTTCCTACTTTACGGATTCTTAAAAATGCTCTGAGATATAGAATGAGCACAGACCACTATAAATTATTGGCAGATTGTGAAATAAGAAGACAAAATGGAAAGGCTACTGCCAGGTGGGGAAGTGGGAAAGAGGAATTTGATCCAGCAGAGTGCACAGCATTTGAAAAAGCGAAGTGTAAAAACATTTCAGGTGGACAGGGCCAACGGTTTTGGATCTTACTCTGCAGGTGCAGAGAGAGATGAGGATTTGAGCAAGAGAGTGACGCCAGAGTTGCTGTTGAAGATTATTGTTTTATTATTGTAAAACAATAATATTAGGTAAATAAAAAATTATACTGCAATCACAGATTTTGAAGATTATGTCATTTGACGTGAACCAATTTGATATTCTTGGGCATAAAATATAATCTACATATTTACAAGTGTTATTTTACCTTCCCAGGAAATACAATATCTTGTTATTAAAATGAGCAGGTAAAAAGGAAAAAAAGTTATCCCTATTCATATGCTCAGAAGTTGAAGAACTAAATGCTGTCCATTCAAGTCTTCCACTCAAATCTAGCCACATTCAGGGAAGAGAGGCAGCAAACAAAACCGGCGGGAGGAGGTAGACAGGATCAGAAATTTAAACATATATGAAGGTGATGGTTTATAGAAAGGAAAATAGAGGCTACAAAGTAAGAGATTAGCATCTAAAAGGAATGAATAGATAATGATGTAAAATAAACAAAACACTAATAAAATCTACTTTCTTTTTTCTTATAGGTAATTATATAAAATAAAGTTGCATGAATCCTTTAATATCATCTTCTACTAGAACTTTCTTTGAGACAATGCCTTGCTCATATGAGTCTTTAAAAATATGCAATGTGAATAGTGCACATCAAATATACCCAGGTGTTCTAGCTTGGGTATGAGATTCTCTCTTGATAAATGGAATCAATTTAGGAAACTCTGCATGTTAAAATGTTACTATTTGTTGGTTCAATTGCTAAACTATATCCCTGGGGCAAGATTAAAGCTTTCACTCAAAAGTGCAGTTTGAATTTCCTTTTATTATTATTTTTTAAACAGGCAAGAGAACACACAAACTTTATTACATGCCTGATGTGTAAGAGGGTGACTCTCCTTTTAATGTTTTCTCTTACTTTTTTTTGTTATGCCCGAAGCAAAGAAGCTTGAAGGATGCAGTGCTGATGTCTAGCCTGTCTATCATGTTAAAGACATGCTCCCCATCCCAACCTTCAAAGTAACAATTTTAGAACACTTTCACAGAAAGAGGGAAGGATGCTTATCTGCTTGACAAATGTCATTCTTCTTTCAAGGAAAGTCCAAGCTAGGAGTCTGTGGTTGTCTTTATCTGGTGACATCTGCCTGGCATGAATAACTAACGTGGCCAAGGACAGATGCACCAGACCTCCTAAAAGTGTAGGGTCTGTAGGGTTTTGATGTTGTTTGTTTTCTTAGTTCAGTGGCGTAGTTGGACTTTCTCCTCTTTAGGGCTCTGAAGGGTTGCTTTGGACTGTTTTCTCCTATTCAGATTGTAAACCTCAGTCTTTCAAACACATGGTTTCTAAAAGGATTGACCTCATTTCCCTTTGACTCCAGTTTACTCAGTTCTCTTCACTTTCTTTTCAAATACAGATATTCATTTTCATATAAAATTTTCATGATATATGTCAAAAATCTCTTTTAAGGAAATACTCTGTCAAGCCTTGCATGGATTGGAATGAATTTAATAATCAAAATGCAACTGGGTTACATTGATCTATATCCTTAACAGGATAATTAAATAAATAGCACTAGCAATTATGCTATCCATTTTCATGAGTAGACACAGATAAATCTGTATTTTACAACTAAAATTCCTACAAAAATCAAGCCCTAAAAGATTTTTCCCCTAAGAGAAAAATGTCTAACCTTACATTTTGGAGAGAGAGACAGACAGACAGACAGAGAGGGAGAGACAGAGAGATAGAGAGACAGAAAAAGAAAAGCCAGGGATGGTGCTGCGTGCCTGTAATCCCAGCCTTTAGGAGACTGAGACAGGAGGATCAGCATGAATTCAAGGTCAGCCTGAACTAAGACCATATCTCAAAAAACTAAAAGTAAATGAAAAGGAAGAATATTGATGAACTCAACAAGAAATATGTTGTATCCCATAACATTGTGTGGTCAGTTAGGCACATTATAGATAATGTGCCTAGTGATGATGTGAACAAGATAAAGTCCTGAGTACAGTGATTTTCATCTAATCAAGACTTTAGCTTGGCCAGGCATGCTGGT